TATTACACTTGGCTAGACTCTAAAATTCTTTAACTTGTGTGGGATGGGATATCGCATGACAATTTTTATGCTGATGGAGCCACTTCCTGAGAGGCGGGAATGTGGACGTCCTCAGAAAACCATAACGACTCAATGGCGGGAAGCTATCCTTGGGATCACAATGGATGGTGGACAGAACCGTCATTGTTTAATATGAACATTGGTATTAAAACTTGAACAGTCTATGCTAGGTCTTAGGCTTGTGAAAAGAATTACAAAACTTGCTTTGTGCAAAAGAACCATGGCCATCCTTTGAATTCCTCTGTCATGTGCATCATTGCTGTGATGGCTTGCTGAGTACGGTTGGTACTCACCCTTGTAAATATAAAATTAATCAGAAGCGGGAGATGAAGCCTCGGAGGATCCCTATGCCTACTACCAGGAGGGAGATGAAGACGATGGTGCTCAGTAGGTCTTAGTACGGTCGTTGCCTGTGGCAATGGCATGCCGCTGCCTGAATTCCGCTGCCTTATCTATTTCTGCTTTTGGATGTATTCCGGACCGCTCGGTCCGATGATTTAAGACTATGCCTGCGGGCTTATGATGTAATAATTCGTATTAGACACTCGTGTATGTGCACTTGGTATTTCAGCTATGAATTCGTGTGTACCAGACTACTTGATCCAGGGAAATGGTACTGTTTACACGATTGATTCCTGTTATAAAAACGGGGGTCTACATACGGTGGCACCGAGGATGGCAGCGGTAGAGGCGGAGGTTGCTCGGGCGCTAGCGGCGCGGAAGGGCAGGCGGCGGACGGCTGACGACGGCGCGCGGAGGTGGGCACGCCTGGCTGGGCGGGCGGCGGACGGCGGCGCGTGGGGGTGGGTGTGCCTGGCTGGGAGAGGCGAGCGCGGCGGGCGGCTAAAAGGTTGCGTGGGCACGACGTTGAGGCGGGAGGCGCGAGGGGGCGGGCGGTGGACGACGGCGCTGACCGGTTCTTCCTCTCGTCTCGTGCCGCCGCCCGCCGCCCGCTCCTCCGGGTCGCCTCCGCCGCGATCCTTGCCCTGCTCACCATCGCGGCCGCGTTCCTTCCCACGGGCCACGCGCGCCGACCGCTGGCCCTCCCCCGTGCGCCGCTACCTGTCTTTGCCTCCGCCTTTGCTGCCGGCCACACGAGCGACCTCCGTCTCAACCACCGGCGCCCGAGCGACCTTCGCCTCCGCCGCCAACCGTCCGCCTGCCCCCACGACGCTGCCCACCTCCCCGCCCCTGCGCGCTGCCCTGTGTGAGATAGAGAAGACAAAGGAGAGAGAGAAAGAGGGGAAGAGGTGTATGACTAATGGGTCCCACATTTTTTTAATAAATAAAATGCTGACTGGATTGCCACGCGTACGTTACGTAGGATAAAATCGCTCTGGATTGGGTCGAGGGGGGTAATTCGTCCGTTTTTAAAAGTTCAGGGTGAGCAATGTCTAGTTTTCGGGTTAAGAGGGTAATTCGGTCGATTGCGATAGTTTAGGGGGCAATTCTACCCCAACCCCCCCCCCCCTTTATAATCTATGCGGAAGACTGTGGTAAAAACTTATACACATTAATTATATACATGACAGGCGCAATATTTGTTACATAGATTAAATAGAAGATACTTTGTGTTGTTTTTAAACACTACATACGGATACGGTGTATATGAGTTTGATAACTTTCCTCCGTTTGATTTAGATTATAAAGTAGATCATCTACTGGATTATAGAGATAAGTTAAACATTTCAAAAATTCGATGAACAATATGAGAAAAACAGAGCCTCTTATGCATTAGTACAATATCATATTAACCGCTTCCTGATTAGACCATTATATCGTTTACTTCAATCCTACATCAAATCTTATCCACGCTACTGTATAAACCCAAGTACATATCTCCTCTGTAAAAAAAAATATAAACAAAGAAAAGAGGTGCTGCTAGCCGTGCTGAGGAGATAGAACTAGAGAAGAGCTGCAGGGTCGGACGAAATGCGCGAAGTAGAGGTTTTCTTAGCGACAGACGAAATAATATATGAATACATAATCATTTTTAATTTTTATAATATATATACTCCCTCCTTTTTTAATAGATACTGTTGACTTTTGAGCACATGTTTTGATTATTCGTCTTATTAAAAAAATATGCAAATGTATAAGATATAAATCATACTTAAAGTACTTCGAGTGATAAAACAATTCACAACAAAATGAATTATAATTACGTAATTTTTTAATAAGACAAATGATCAAACGAGCGACAAAAAGTCAACGGCGTTATCTATTAAAAAAACGGAGATAGAATATAGGTAAGGTAAATTTATTATTAAAGCATTCTTGCTTGGTAGTATTTTTATAGTTGGTATGTGGAGTAAAAAGAAGGAAACAATAATATTGCCATGCTAGATTAATGAAACAGATTGTACATAAAGGCAAGACAAGAGGAGAAGACACAGCTCACCTGTGCTATGTAGCCGTAGAAGTGCAGATGCAGTCGGAGGAGGATATTCGCTGTGTCTTTCTCCTCTCATCTCAAGTGGTTCGGTTTCCATTTTGACCGAGCCATCCATTTGCTGAATAAATGAATGGTGACGGCTGATGCCACTTCCCTCTCCTGTCTGCAACTCATCTGTCACAGTTTCAGCGAAAGCGAGTAAAATGCAAGGAGCAAGATATAAACAAGAGTAGACATTTTTTACAGTATATACAAGATTCATAACCGCATTTTCCCCATATCTATATATACAGTCGTCGATAAATTCTACAGGTACGTTCAAATAGAACGAGAAGAAGGAGCAGAACAGTATATATACGCGTACGGTAGGAAGAGGGTATGCACGTCAAAAGAAGATTGAAGAAGAGGAATGCATTGCAGGCAGAGTGCAGTGCAGTCTCCATCGCATGTATATTCAGATGCAATGTATTCCGGCGGCTTGCTAAGGCTAGTCCACGCTAGTATATATGATGAACTGAACTTGTTCTATTGACGTGCACTGCAACAGTGCAAGTACTCTAATAAGCTTTAGCTACCACTGCTACTACTAGTCAGCAAATCAAAGAGTCTTCCAAAAAAAAAAAAGGGTCAGCAAATCAAAGGGAAACACAAACGCCAAGTCCTACACGTCTTGAGTTGCTGCACGCTGTTTTTCCTCGCCTTCTTTGCTCCACCACACAATGCTGCTACTGCTAGTCCTGTTTCTGGTGCACCCAGCCACCCCTGCCCACACCTATAGAAAACCATGCATGTCTTACATGATCATGATAACTTTAAACGATGTATTTTTTATAAAAAAAATTCTATCTACAAAAATTTTCTATAGGAAAGTTGCTTTGAAAAATCATATTAATCTATTTTTAAAATTTAAAATAGTTAATACTCAATTAATCATGCACTAATGGCTCACTTCGTTTTGTGTATCTTTCTAATCTTCTCAATCCCCTTCTCCCCAAAGTCAGTCTTACATGATTGAGAGAGAAGAGTGACATTATGCAACACACTAGTCTTGCTCAGTAGTAGGCTCATACTGGCAGGTGGCACCGTTCCATATCCTGCAAAATTATACTCCCTCCATTTTTTAATAGATGACGCCGTTGACTTTTTCTCGCATGTTTGACCATTCGTCTTATTCAAAAATTTTATGCAAATGTATAAGATATAAATCACACTTAAAGTACTATGAGTGATAAAAAAACTCATAAGAAAATAAATTATAATTACATAAATTTTTTGAATGAGACGAATGGTCAAACATGTGAGAAAAAAATCAACGGCATCATCTATTTAAAAAACGGAGGTAGTATATATACTACTTATGTCACAAAATAACTTCAATTTTATACATAATTCTCTGGAGTATTTCAGAAAATACCCTAAAAAACAAACTACGTACTCCCTCCGTCCTATAAAAAACCAACCTAATACTAAATATGACACATCCTAATATTATAAATTTAGACATACCTCTATCCAGATTCATTGCACTAGAATATATCACATCTAGTAATAGATTCGTTTTTTTTTTGGAACGGAAGGAGTATGAGTTATGACCAGTAAGCAGCACTGACTCTCTCAACGATAAACTCAACAGTATGTAACTGAAGGGATCAGTACTTGAGATGAAAAAGAAACAAGGACAGAGTAGTAAAATCAGGCTACCATCCATTTAGGGCATGTTTGGAGCAGAGTATAAAACATGTGAATAACACAGGAAACAAAACTTAGGAATTTGTTTGTATTGAAAAACACAGCAAATTAATGTGTATGAACAAAAGTAATAACAAAACACCTGAATCATTTTTCTCGTATCATGTCCCTTGTGATCTTTATTACTTCTACTTCGATTCCACTGGTATAAACAGATTTTCGTTTTTGACATTGGTATGGTATTCAGATAGAATACAGCTTCAATAATTAATTTATATTGTACTAATATGTTTGTAAAGAACTTGGTCCAAAAAAAATGTGTTTGTAAAAACATAACGAACATATAATACTTTTCAAGGTAAATCTATGCATATGTATTGTATGCATCTAACATTAATATTTTAGTATAAATAAAAATGTGATGTATGTATTATTATAAAACCTGCAATTTGAAAAAAAAGAGAGAGAGAGAGATACCCAAAACAAAAAAAGAAAACTAGTGAAAAATGCTACAACTAAAAGAAGACTTTTCCTTAGGCCACTATAGAAGGTTTTCTATCACCTGTCCTCCTTGGTCCAACTATGTCGAGAATCGATGAAGAGCGGGCCCAGCGTCACCAAACGGGTGTATGGTGTGTATTCTTCTCCTCCAAAGTTGCAATCTTGCCTCTGTGTGTGTGGTACTGTAGCGGTGCTCTTTCTTTGGTGGGTGCCACGTAGGAGAAACCCAGCAGGAGTCATTTCCAAGTGTCACCAGTGAGAGGGCAGGAGGGCATGTGAGTTGGCGATAACCCTATCCTCCTCCTGTCCTGGCCCTTGTCTTCTCCACGTCTCTCCCTCCCTCCCTCTCTAGAGCCTATAGCCATAGCTCATCATCCACCCTCTCTTCCTTCCTTCCTTCCTTCCTTCCACACAGACCAGACCAGGCATCCCGACACTACACGCAGACTCTCGACTTTGTCACTAGCATCATTGCTTGATGATCGATGCTGAGCTGCAACCAAGCACCAGCATATCCTTTCCTTCATTCCTTCCTGGTGCTGGTAGAAGAAGAACAAGCTAGCTAGAGTGATAAGAGGTAATTGTTTCCTCCAACTCATTCCAACCTTGCCTTTTGCCTGCCAAACTCCTCATCCTCTGCCACTGCATACCATACGTGTGCGCGCCTGAATGCCTGCCTGCCTGCCTGATACTGATACATACACACAGCACACACGCCCCGCTATTGTAAGTGCGGCCACCACTAGCTGTGTTTCTGCTCTCTGTGTTTATCACCAAATTAAAGCAACGACACTCACTTGGTCTGTTTCTTTTTAAAATATTATTTCTCCTCCTCACCTCACACATACCTGCATATTATTTGCAGCTAGCTACCTTGCAGATCGATCTCCGGCCAGCGATTGATCCCATCCAGTATAATAATGGCGGCCATCACGCTCCTACGTTCAGCGTCTCTTCCGGGCCTCTCCGACGCCCTCGCCCGGGACGCTGCTGCCGTCCAACATGTCTGCTCCTCCTACCTGCCCAACAACAAGGAGAAGAAGAGGAGGTGGATCCTCTGCTCGCTCAAGTACGCCTGCCTTGGCGTCGACCCTGCCCCGGGCGAGATTGCCCGGACCTCGCCGGTGTACTCCAGCCTCACCGTCACCCCTGCTGGAGAGGCCGTCATCTCCTCGGAGCAGAAGGTGTACGACGTCGTCCTCAAGCAGGCAGCATTGCTCAAACGCCACCTGCGCCCACAACCACACACCATTCCCATCGTTCCCAAGGACCTGGACCTGCCAAGAAACGGCCTCAAGCAGGCCTATCATCGCTGCGGAGAGATCTGCGAGGAGTATGCCAAGACCTTTTACCTTGGTATGTAGTATGTCTATCTTCTTAATTTTCACCCCTGCCTTGCAGCGTGCCATCCATTTTTTCTTGCCATGCATCATATCATGGAATTCATGCTGCTTTCTCATGGCAGGAACTATGCTCATGACGGAGGACCGACGGCGCGCCATATGGGCCATCTATGGTACTTCAACAATCACCATGTCTTGCTCCACTGTTCCATTGCTTCCCTAACTATGTATCAGTAAATATTAAAAGCGGAGGTAATTTAATTTTTTAATTCAAATCATCAGATATCCCCTCACGTTTAATATGAGTTGAAGGTCACTATATAGTACTCCCTCCGTTTCAAAATGTTTGACACCATTGACTTTTTAATACATGTTTGACCATTCGTCTTATTCAAAAAAATTTGTGAAATATGTAAAACTATATCTGTATATGAAAGTATATTTAACAATGAATCAAATGATATGAAAAGAATAAATAATTACTTATATTTTTTGAATAAGACGAATGGTCAAACACGTACTAAAAAGTCAACGGTGTCAAGTATTTTGAAACGAATGGAGTATTGAATAGTAACCTACTGTTTGAGTTGAAGGTTGCTGTACTACTTACTATTTAACAGCGACTAGCAAGACACAAATTGGTCAAGTTTTGATGTAATGGTCAGAATTAGGTTATTGATGGGAGTTATAACAGACAGAAACTTTGTCGTCAGACTTCACTTGCATGCGATGCATCTGTAGATACAAAGTCAATGAAGAATAAAGTACTAATAGTACTAGTGCATTTCTTTTAAAACCACTATCTATGCAAGCATCACAATTGGACTTGTAGTAGGCTAAATGGCTCCAACTGTTTCAAGACATGTGAAAAAGGTTGAGAGAACATGTTCTCTGAGATGCCAAATGAATATGAATCCGTACTACTAACAATTTCAAACTTTTAAATGAGCTAGTTCAGGCATGAATTTTGAAATCTGATGTATACCTTTTTTTTTTTGCAGTGTGGTGTAGGAGGACAGATGAGCTTGTAGATGGACCAAATGCCTCGCACATCACACCGTCAGCCCTGGACCGGTGGGAGAAGAGGCTTGATGATCTCTTCACCGGACGCCCCTACGACATGCTTGATGCTGCACTTTCTGATACCATCTCCAAGTTTCCTATAGATATTCAGGTAACTAGCTGGTATATGCATATAGCGAAAATCCAAATGATGTAATACTGCTAGACTATATTGGTTGCTAATCCCTATGGATTCCCTGCACATCGCAATTCTAGTGCAAGAAGAATAGACCTACTAAGTTGACGACCAAATAGTTGATCGGTCAACAATATCATATGACTTGTCAGCCATTAGTCTCTGATGCCACTGTTAACTTTTCACACAATTTATTGGGCTTAGTCCAGGACTCCATGTGGCCACAATGCACAGTATTAGTCTAGGAAAAAGATCAATCCAAGGACAGATATGGTAGGACTTTTCAGAACAGACAACTGATAGAGCACAGCCCATCAAGTAGAATACTAAGGGGAAGGCCATAATTCCTATGCAATTCTATGGAGTTGTTAACCTGAATTAAGCAGGTTCTATACAGAATAAAAGAACTTGCTCATTATCTATGATGACAAAAAAGGAAGGAAAAGTTCCACTGAGAATTTTACTGAACACATGAAAACCCACAATTGGAAACTTATCATCTGTCCTTTGAGTTTTTACAGACCACATGGTGTATAATAATATGACTAATCAAATGCAATGCACGTATGCCAGCCTTTCAGGGACATGATAGAAGGGATGCGGTCAGACCTCAGAAAGACTAGATACAAGAACTTCGACGAGCTCTACATGTACTGCTACTATGTTGCTGGAACTGTGGGGCTAATGAGTGTTCCTGTGATGGGTATTGCACCCGAGTCGAAGGCAACAACTGAAAGTGTGTACAGTGCTGCTTTGGCTCTCGGCATTGCAAACCAGCTCACAAATATACTCCGTGACGTTGGAGAGGAGTAAGTGTCAATACAGTGGTTTTCACTAATGGTCATAAGCTGTAGAACAGAATGTCGGCATATATATAGTTCACTGATCCTAATACTTCATTTTATTTTCACAGCGCGAGAAGAGGGAGGATATATTTACCACAAGATGAACTTGCAGAGGCAGGGCTCTCTGATGAGGACATCTTCAATGGCGTTGTGACTAACAAATGGAGAAGCTTCATGAAGAGACAGATCAAGAGAGCTAGGATGTTTTTTGAGGAGGCAGAGAGAGGGGTGACCGAGCTCAGCCAGGCAAGCCGGTGGCCGGTAAGAAGAGTCACTTGATTCTCAAGGAAACATAAAGCAGATTATTATTGTCGGTGCTTCTATGCCATGGTGTCAAAAGGAAAATAAAATATCATTGCATTGCCCCGTTGCAGGTCTGGGCGTCTCTGTTGTTATACCGGCAAATCCTTGACGAGATAGAAGCAAACGATTACAACAACTTCACAAAGAGGGCGTACGTTGGGAAGGCGAAGAAATTGCTAGCGCTTCCAGTTGCATATGGTAGATCATTGCTGATGCCCTACTCACTGAGAAATAGCCAGAAGTAGGAGGCGGGAAGAGGAGATAAAGGGAAGATGATGAGCAGGTTAGGCTTAGATAGGAAAAATCAGACAGCATCTGCCTTCCGATTAATGTTGAGGAAATTATATTATTGTGTGTATCATACATAGCATGTATAGGGAAAATGCTGCAGGCAGGCAGGCAGGCTAGGTGATGGTTGAATATTTCCTTCACATCATGTATGTATATCCTTCCTTGATGCTACAGCACATATGTATGTATGACTCTGAAGAAAGAGCAACCTGTATAGTAGCTAACCGGCTATGGCCTATGTATGGGCCGCAGAGGTGAGCAAACAAAAATCATCATCCATGGATTGATTGATTGATTGATTGATACAGTACTACTAAAGCAAGCATACATACATTATCCAGGGAAAATGCAGAATGAGTAACAAACTTGAGAGAGAGAGAGAGAGAGAGAGAGAGCAAAGCAAGTACTCCATGAGCGAACAAGTCAGTTGGTCGGTTGACGAAGGAGATTGCAGGAGGACCTCACCTCACCATGTGGAGTCCGTGGGGCGGCGCACGCTGTGGCCTGGACATCACTGGCCGGCAGGGGATTATTGGGGTTGGGGCCATTCCTTCACACGACCGGAAGAGGAGGGCCAGCCGCCGCCGCCGCCGGCGGCGGTGGCAGGAGTGGAGTCTGGAGGGTGCGGAGAGTTCATGGCTGTTGAAGTTGGGCTTTTTTTAGTTTGGGCCCAATATAAGCTGTAGCATGAATTCCCGCGCTTTATGGGTTTGGGCGGGATTCCCTTCTCCGTGTCTTCATTTGCCAAAAAGCTAGCACTAGTACTATAGCTAAGGTGGTGTTCTTTTGGTGGTGTTTGAGTTCCTATTTGGATCAGGGATTGAAGTTTTAGTACATGTCATATCATGTCATATCGGATGTTTGGATATTAATTATAACTATCAAACGTAGATTATTGACAAAACTCATTCCATAACCCTGGACTAATTCGCGAGACGAATGTATTAAGCCTAATTAATTCATGATTAGCCCATGTATTGCTACAGTAAACGTAGTCTAATTATAGATTAATTAGGCTTAAAAAATTTGTCTCGCAAATTAGCTCTCATTTATGCAATTAGTTTTGTATTTAGTCTATGTTTAATACTTTGGATTAGCGTCCAAATATCTGATGTGACAGGGACTTAAAGTTTAGTCCCTGGATCCAAACACCACTTGAATCTTCTGAAGATAAAAATTAAGTGTTTCACATAAAACAATGTGGTAATAACATGTGATTAATTGAGTTTTACTCCCTCCGTCCCCAAAAAAGGCAACCTCGTATTTGATGTGACATTTTCTAGTACAACGAATCTGGAAAGGAAATGCCACCTCCAATACTAGGTTGTCTTTTTTTGGATGGAGGGAGTAATTATTACAAACTTGAAAAATGGATTAATCTGATATTTTAGAACAACTTTCATATAAAAATTTTCACACGAAACGCATCGTTTAGCAGTTTGAAATGCGTGTCACGAAAATCCAAAACTTTATCCACTACTTGTAGTGGAAACGAACATGACCTTTCTCCTAAAGACGAAGATTAAGTTTTTTTACGCAAAAAAGACTAGTTCTACCTACGAACCTGGACACGTGTGTTCAGGTTCCTAGCTAGGAATTCCTTTTTTTAGAGAAAGTAGTAATACTTAATTAATCATAGAAAAAAAGTATGAATTACCCCCTGAAGTATCAAGTGAGTACGAGTTGCCCCCCTAAAATAGAAAACCAATCATTTTTCACCCTTAACTATCGATACCGGATGAACCCACCCCCCTCTCCCCCCCGAGCAGATTTGTAAGCGTTTTTGGTCTGCGTGGCAACCTAGTCAGCAAGTTTTTTATTAAAAAAAAGGATAGGGCCCACCTGTCAGATATCTCTTCTCTCTATCTCTTTCCCTCTCACCCCCTCTCTCTCTCCCGTCAGATGCCGGCGGTTGCGGCTCACGCGCTGACAGCAGTGGGCGCCTCCTCCGCTCACCGCCGTCCCCTCCTCCCGCGGTCGTCAATTTCCCCTCCTCGCGAATGCCTCGATTTTGCCGGTTGGTGCGGTCATCGAAGCGCACGCCGAACGCAAGAAGGAGGTCGGTGTTGTCGACGGCGTAGTTGGCGTACACGGTGCCATGCATCCCGAGCATCCGCAGGGAGAGGGGGCCGTCGCTGGGGAAGTTTCCGATGCCCATGAGGGTGGTCGTCAACGGGATGCCCGTCAGCTCCACGAAGCAGCGCAGTTCATCGCCAGACGCGGAGCAGCCGCCGACTGATGTAGAGGACGGGTTTCTTGGCGTCGCCGACGAGACAGATGACTTCGTTGAGCAAGTTGTCGGCCGGTGGCTTCGGTAGCCAGGAGATGTATCCCGACAGGCGCATGTGCATGTCCCAGGATGGCACGGGCATCTGCTACTGGATATCCTTGGGGATATCGATGAACACTGGGCCGGGGCGGCTGGTGGACGTGAGGAAGAAGGCCTCGATGATGCGGGGGATGTCGTCGACGTCGAGGATGAGGTGGCGCCCATTGCCGCCGGCGCGCGAGACCGTCGGCATCTGACAGGAGAGAGAGAGGGGGTGAGAAGGAAAGAGATAGAGAGAAGAGATATCTGACAGGTGGGCCTTATCCGTTTTTTTTTAATAAAAAACTTGTTGACTGGACTGCCACGTAGACCAAAACCGCTTGCAAATTTGCTGGTGGGTTTTCATCTGGTATCGATAGTTAAGAGTGAAAAATGACTGGTTTTTAGGTTTAGGGGGGTAATTTATACTCACCCAATATTTCAGGGGGTAATTTGTACTTTTTCCTTAATCACACGCTAATGAGTGTTGGAGAGGAAAGTACTGGACCTGTAGTGATGGTTGTGGTAAAGTTGATATTGACCGGTGAGCAGATGGCAAACAAAATGAAAAGCAGCATGAATGAATGGTTGGTCGATGATTGATGATTGAGAGCTGAATCTTGATCGCACATGCACATGCACGCACGAGCTCATGAGTCATGGCATTCAAAACTGTGTCTCTTCTCTTCTAGTACTGGTTGTGTGTGGCCATCCGGATCCCGGTCACCGTGCCTGCCTGCGTTGGTACTACTACTGCTACGTGCACTGCATCGCCAGAAAAAGGAATCGCCACAAAAAAAAGGGATTACGGTTTTGTGCGAAAAATTTTTATATAAAAGTTGCTATAAAGTATCAGATTAATATATTTTTTAAATTTATAATAATTAAAACTCAATTAATCTCACATTATTACTACAACACTTAATCTTTTATCTTGAGAAGATTTAAACACCATCTAAAACCAGCATCTCTCCTTGGGCAAACGACGAAATGAGGCTGAGAGGTAGGGCCCACAGGCTCAGAGCCACCGTACGTACCTGAGTATTTCCCAAAGTGCCACTGCATAGCAAACAAGCAGATGAGAGATGAGTGGCAAGACCGTAAAATGCATGGAAAGGCAGGCCCTAGTTGGAATTGAAACCCAAAAACAAACAATTGGGAATATTATTATTATTATGGGATTCAAAACAACAAAACCCACGCTGCCTGCTTGCAAAACCTCCGCTCTCTTTTGGTCCGTTAACTCTTTCTTCGCCCATCCCTCCTCGCCTCGCCTTTTGCAGCTGTAGCTCACTGCCACTAATACTACCGATTTCTCCTCCGCCTCCGCCTCGCCGCCGCCAAATCTAGGGTTTCCGCCTCCATGCATGCGCCTCACCCGAGGCCGAGGCAAGCTTCCCTTCCCCTACACCGCGCCGTCCCGCTTTCCGCATTCTTTTTTTCCTTTTTGACGGATTTTCTCTTCTTTCCTTTTGCTCGATATCTAGGTGTTGCAGAGGAGGAGATTTGATTTGATTTGAGATTCCGATGGCGGCGCCCGGCGGCGCCAGGAGGCCCGACTTCTCCTCCGCGGCCTCGCCCTCTCCCTCGCCGGCGGGGGCAGCCGGGAGGAGGCTGCTCCGCACCCAGACCGTCGGCAACTTGGGCGAGTCCATCTTCGACAGTGAGGTCGTCCCCTCCTCGCTCGTCGAGATCGCCCCCATCCTCCGTGTCGCCAACGAGGTCGAGGCCACCAACCCACGCGTCGCCTACCTATGTATGTTCCATTCAATTCAATGCTCTTCTTCCTTCCTTACCTTCCTTACTGGACTAGTTACTCAACTACTAGCTACTACTCCATTCATCATTGCATTGCAGGCCGTTTCTATGCTTTCGAGAAGGCTCATCGCCTCGACCCCACCTCCAATGGCCGTGGTGTTCGTCAATTCAAAACCGCGCTTCTGCAGAGGCTTGAAAGGGTAATCTCTTTATCTATTTCTTCCTTGCCCGATCCCTTTCTTTCTACTACTTATGTAGTACAACCCGTATTTGTTCACCACTACCAACAATTCATCTGTAATGCGCTACCTCCTTTCTTCTTTTTTTTTTCCATTCCATTCCTCAGGAAAATGATCCAACATTGAAGGGAAGGGTTCACCAGAGTGACGCTCGAGAGATGCAACGTTTCTACCGTGAATACTACAAGAAGTACATCCAGGCACTTCAAAATGCTGCCGACAAGGCTGACCGGTTGGTTGCTTCCACCCTTCCTCTCTTCCGTTTCGCACCATCTCTTTTTTATTTTTCGACACAACTCTGCTCCTTTACTAACAGCAATGTCTTTCTTCTGCTTGTCCAGTGCTCTGCTCACTAAGGCATACCAAACTGCTGCTGTCTTGTTCGAGGTCTTGAAAGCCGTCAATGTTTCCCAATCTGTTGAAGTCGATCAAGCGGTACTTGATTTTACTTCCTTTTTGTTATGCTCGCCTTCTTCTTTTATCAGCTTATTGTTCCATGCATTCTTTGCTAACTGCAACTTCTCCTCTTCTCTGTCGAATGCACTCTTCCTGTGACCGTTATGCAGATTCTGGATACACACAACAAAGTTGAGGAAAAGAAAAAGCTCTATGTTCCTTACAATATTCTGCCACTCGATCCTGAGAGTACTTATCAACCTATTATGCAATATCCAGAGGTTTCCATCTATCCCAAATCAACACCATTTTAAAAATAATACTATCCTTTTACCAAATCAAGCCTTTGTAAATGTTTCCCATTGTGTTCCTCATAAACTACACAGATTCAAGCAGCTGTTAATGCGCTAAGGAATATTAGAGGCCTGCCGTGGCCCAAGGAACATGAAAAGAAGCCTGATGAAAAGAAGACTGGCAAAGACCTTCTTGATTGGCTTCAGGCCATGTTTGGGTTTCAGGTAGTTATCCACTTCCTGGTGAAACTCTCCATGTTGACATCACAACATGTACTTTGCCCTGGAAATGTGCATAGTCTAACTGTGAGTCTCTTTCTTTACAGAAAGATAATGTGTCCAACCAAAGAGAACATCTAATACTGTTACTTGCAAATGTGCACATAAGGCAGTCTCCTAAGACTGAGCAACAAGCAAAGGTGCTTATTTTTCACTTTTGTTCCGGGAGTGACCGAGTTTTTTCCCACCCTCTCGCATCACTCGCACACTAGTGACTTGATGTTTTATTGATATATTTTCTTGGAATCCTGTTTTCCAGTTGGACGACAGAGCTCTAGATGCTGTAATGAAGAAGCTATTTAAGAATTATAAGAAGTGGTGCAAGTACCTTGGCCGCAAAAGCAGTTTATGGTAGGTTCAGTGCTTCAGTGAAGTCAAGTAAATGGGATGATTTATAGGGACCACATGCACTGATTTTCCCAGAGATGCCAATACTTGTCATTTGCTGGTCATTGTTTTAACTTCCTTGAACAAACTTGGTTTATAGTTTTGGTCTTGCTCTTATGCCATTTGAAACTGATATTATGGTCTCAACCTTTCTTCCTATTCTACCTTCTCTCAAAATGATTCGGCCAATTGATCTGCAGGTTGCCAACTATCCAGCAGGAAGTTCAGCAGCGTAAGCTTCTCTACATGGGTCTCTATTTGCTAATTTGGGGTGAGGCGGCTAACTTGAGGTTCATGCCAGAGTGTCTTTGCTACATCTACCATCATGTAAGATAATCTTGTTCTTTACCATGATCTTTTTTTAGATAATGGAAGCTTTATTGAACTCAATAAATTACATTGAGGTGATACAATTGTCATGACAACACTCCCAGCCTCTACGTAGCTAAGATGCACACAACCAACTCAGACACACACACCCACCCAAAGAAAAAACATAATGGATCACCAGGAAAATTAATGGTTGTCAATATTCATTCCTAAGACTAAGATCGCCACCCATGACCTTGGGTAAAAAACTCCTTGACCACCCTCTCCAACTGCCCCGCAACGCCGCAAGCCCGCAACCACCAGGTCCAGTAAACCAGGCTTTTGAAGGATAACCCATGTACGACCAATGGGTAAGTAAAAAAAAAAAACCTGCAACAGAGAGGATATTGCTCTTTCCCATGATATAGATTTGAGGTTTCTCATATCTTTGGTTTGACTGTTCTCCATTTGTGGGTTGTACCTGATAACTGGTTTAGGAATTTGATAGTGAATAATGAACATCTCAGATCATTTTTGTGAGGAATTCCATTGATTCTAACAAAACCTGTAGTAGCTTAGGAGAATTCATATCCGCTTGGTCTCTTCTGTACTTTGATGCCCTTTCACCTTGTTTGTGGCCCACTATTGTGATATGGAGGACTGGTTGTTTTGTTAACACAAGAAGTAGTATGAGGAATCAAGAATATGTTTCAAAGGATTCAGACGAACCTAAATATAGGTGCCTGCAGTTCTATGTCCTTGTGCGCGTGCGCACACACACACACACCAAAGAAAAAAAACTGATGGGATTCATAATATATTGTTGAATTAGAAATACTTGCAATTTTATTTTGAGCTTATGAAATCTTAAATTTAATTCCTCGTGTCTAACTGTCCATAAACGGTGGGAAATATAAGGCATAGGATAGGTTTGTTATTTATACCATGCCAATGAAATGTACTTTGCGTTATTATAGTATCATGTATGTTATGGAGAAAGAAGAGTAGTTTGTAGGGATAATCGTTGGGGCATGTTTTTGTATTAGTATGAGACTCTGCATGTATAAGTTTTTGTTCTGGTGAGATCATCTTGATGGTAATGATGCTTTTCCATCTTAACAGATGGCTTTTGAACTCTATGGCATGTTGGCTGGAAACGTGAGTCCAATGACTGGTGAAAATGTTAAACCAGCGTATGGTGGTGATGAAGAGGCCTTCCTGATGAAAGTAGTGACTCCAATTTACAAAGTTATAGAGAAGGTATATTCACTTGTGTATCAAATATGTTACTATTTCCTATTTTCCTTTTATTTTCAGGTTGATCAGTTAGTGCCCTTATGAAATTTTACAGGAAGCTGAACGGAGCAAGACCATAAAGTCAAAACACTCACATTGGAGGAACTATGATGATTTAAATGAGTATTTTTGGTAAGCAATTATCAGATTTTAGTTGTCGCTTTTACCATCCTATGCTCCCAAGATTTTTTTTTAAAGAAAGTCATGGAATTGTTACTGTATTGCAGGTCAGTGGATTGTTTTCGGCTAGGATGGCCTATGAGAGCAGATGCTGATTTTTTCAAAACTCCTGAAGATGCTTACCCTAGTCGTCTTAATGGAGTAGGTTCTTTGATAATACAGATATATCTTGCGCATATTTCATATCTAAGTGTTAGTAGTGGCTTGTGATGCACTATTACAATTTATAAAAGCCCAGTTATTCATAAATAGAATATTCTGATCAGATGCTCGCTGCTACTGCTTGTTCTGTTTTTTAGGTGATGTAGCATTATTTCTTGGTTGGATCCCCCCTCCCACACACCCACCAACACATGCACAGTTTTGATGCATTGTCTTTTAAGTTCTTATGCTTATCCGTGGCTTGTACATTATTGCCTTCGTTTCTTAGATAATTGGAATGGATTACATTTCCAGCCTTGTCCTTCAATGTAATGCCAAGAAAAAGAAATACTTGCTTGGAGTATTAATCCTCTGGGTACCCATTTCTCGTTTGGTCGCGAATGCAGGAGAACAGATCCGCAGGTAATGTCCATTGGATGGGAAAGATTAATTTTGTCGAGATCCGTTCATTCTGGCACATATTTCGTAGTTTCGACAGAATGTGGATCTTCTTGATATTATCCTTACAGGTTGGTTGACCGTTCATATACATTTATCCCTTTTTTTGGAGTACTTGCCATTGCTTCTTTTTCAACATATTTCTTAGTCTTATATTTTAATACAGGCCATGATTATTATTGCCTGGAATGGTGGCACACCAAGTGATATATTCGACGTTGGAGTATTTAAGCAGGTTTTGAGCATATTTATAACGGCTGCAGTTTTGAAGTTAGGGCAAGGTATTTAGTCGAACTTGTACACTCCCTTCCTCTCCCTGCTCACAGACTTGGCAAGGCACAGCCTATTTGTTTGGTAGGTATCTTTAATATTGGATAGAGAACTCTGCTAGTCTAGTTAGCAGTATCTGTTTTTTTAACATGCTTTTGGCAAAGGGCTTAAAGTAACTTCTCTGGCTTCTCTGTCTAGAGGAAAACCATGAGTATTACCCTATTACCTTTTGTTTGTATTTTTGCTTTGGCCAGAAACAATTGATAGCCTGATAGTCATGTTCATGTACCTTAGCAAATACTTCCCCAACAACAACAGATTTTGATAACATTGAACTGAACTGTATATGCTTAACTACTTTCCTTGTAATAAAAAACACCTTGTTCTTCTAGCTGTATGCATACTTCTTATGCCCTGTATATATAATACTTATAGTGATGCTTACTGACAAGTATAACCAATACAGCAATTCTGGACATTGTATTTGGCTGGAAAGCAAGAAGAAGCATGTCATTTGCAGTCAAGCTGCGATATGTCTTGAAGTTAATTTCATCATCTGCATGGGTTGTGATTTTGCCTGTGACTTATGCATATACCTGGGACAGTCCTACAGGTCTTGCAAGAATAATTAAAAGTTGGCTTGGCAATGGTCAGAATCAGCCATCACTGTATATTTTGGCTGTTGTGATATATTTGGCACCAAACATGCTTGCTGCTATGCTGTTTCTTTTCCCGTTCCTCAGAAGGTTTCTTGAGAGTTCAAATGTTAAGGTCATAACATTCATCATGTGGTGGTCTCAGGTAAATTTCTGCCTATTGGTTTCTGATGGTATTTATGTGGTCACAGTTGTTTATATGTTTTGCCAAATGTATCTGCAGCCTCGACTATTTGTTGGCAGAGGAATGCATGAAGGCGCATTTTCCCTCTTCAAGTATGTTAAGTTGTTGACATATCTTTGCAGATTGTTCTAATATAACACATTTTCTAATCACCTAGAGTTGTGTTGTGATAGGTATACCATGTTCTGGGTCCTCCTTTTAGCAATGAAATTGACAGTAAGCTTCTATATAGAGGTATCTACTCATTTATTCTTTATTCCACATTCATCACTAGCTGTTCTTGTGTCGAACTTGAAATGTGAATATATTGCCTACATTTCTGCAGTATCTTAACTTTATGGGTTGGCGTATTCTCAGATCCTATTTTGAATGTAGGAATTTCTTTAAAAACAGTTCAATACTTGCAGGAACCTAGTAAAATTCCTACGTCCCAAATGTGGTCTCAATACTTATGTTTTGTTATTCATAAATATAAAGTATAAAAAGGGATTTTCCTTGGTCTTGAATGTTCAAGATGCCAGCATATCGATGAGTATCAGCACCTATGTTAAAAAGTATAAAAACTACTTGATGGAGGGTTAAGTGTTAGAAAATATCAAAGGAAACCTTGCGGTGTGTATTCATACTCTCATGATCTCCATGCAGATCAAGCCTCTGGTACAGCCAACCAAAGATATAATGAAAGAGCCGATCCGGGATTTCCAGTGGCATGAATTTTTCCCTCGTGGTACTTAAGTTGAAAACTGATGTTTTTACCTTTTGGAATTTTTGGCACACTTATTTCAATCTCAATTTGCATTTTGCAGCTAACAATAACATTGGTGTTGTTATTGCGCTGTGGGCTCCAATAATTCTTGTGAGTGTTGTTCATTGTTTCCTGTTAACAAAAGTTGATTAGCCAATATTTTGAGTTTTATCAATTGATATGTCCAGGTCTACTTCATGGACACCCAAATTTGGTATGCACTTTTCTCTACATTGATCGGTGGTATCTATGGGGCTTATCGTCGTCTTGGTGAGGTTGGTAAAATGTTTTGTTATCAGGCATTCATTAAGTCATTTTATGACTGGTTTGATTTGTTGGACCTGCTTTCTCTGATAAAACAGTTTTCTTGTCTAATATACCGCGTACTGCATCCAATAGCGTATAAGAAAACAATGTTCTTGGACTGATGTTATTCACAGTGACATCTCTACGTTTAAGCTACCTTTTCCAGTTATATTTTGCTCATTTGAAGCATTATCTTGTGGTGTACAACCACCGTCCCAAAAAAAAGACTTTTTTGTCAAGGTGCATAGCCAGAAATCAAGTCTTTTTTGGGACGGAGGGTGTATAGCTTAGCTGTGCTCTATGGCCTATCAATTGTCATCAACTCATGAACTTATGGTAGGCACCTTTCATGTTTCATGACATCAGATACGGACATTAGGAATGTTGAGATCTCGTTTTGAATCTCTGCCTGAGGCCTTCAATGAGCACTTGATTCCTTCTGATTCACACAAGAGTAAAGGTTTGCGTGCTGCCTTTACTGGTAAACCTTCTAAGGTATGGAATTCGTGTCTTAAGCTTGACATCATGAGTTGATTATTGACAGATAAGTATTGAAGTAATATCACCATCATCTGTTTCATCTCATATACCTCTTTTTAGACTTCTGGTGATGAGCAAGAGAAAGAGAAAATAGCCGCAAGATTTGCTCAAATGTGGAACCTAATTATCACAAGTTTCCGTGAGGAAGATCTTATAGATAACAGGGAGATGGACTTGCTACTTGTCCCATACTGTAAAGACCGTGAATTGAATATATTCCAGTGGCCACCTTTCCTACTTGCTAGCAAGGTGTTTTCTCTACCATTTTCTAAAGTGTGCTTGTTTTATTGGTGCATTCAGGCATTTACTGTTTATATTTACTGGATTTTAGATTCCAATAGCATTGGATATGGCGGCAGACAGTGGAGGAAAAGATCGTGATCTGAAGAAGAGAATGGGATCAGATCCGTATTTTTCCTATGCTATCAGAGAGTGCTATGGTTCATTCAAAAACATCATCAATACTTTAGTGTTTGGTCAACGTGAGAAAATGTATGTAATATTATCTGGTGACAATTTTGTTTGCTTCTACTGCAAAATTCTATTTGGTTCTCTTGAATTTCTGACTTAATCTGTGCATGCTATTCCAGAGTAATACAGCAGATTTTTACAATTGTTGATGAACACATAGAAGGGGGAAGTCTAATAAAGGATTTGAACATGAGGAGCCTTCCTGCCCTGAGCAAGAAGTTCATTGAACTACTTGAATTACTGGTATAAAAATTTGTTATCATGGCTATAATTTGCGTTCATAGATGATACCCGCTCACTGTATCCATTTTCTGAATACAGCAAAAGAATAAGGAAGAAGACTTGGGCCAAGTTGTCATTTTATTCCAAGATATGCTTGAGGTGGTCACAAGGGATATAATGGATGAGCAAGACCAGCTAGGCGGGTGAGGATAGCTTGGTTCTGTCATAACAGCATGTTATCTTTTTTTTTTTATTTTCACAGAGATAATAGCATGGTGTCTTTCTTGGCGTTCATATTTTTAGTTAATGCCATTCTGTTGTTGTCTAACACATCTGCTTGCTGCCTAAATTTATCACTTAGAAAAATGAAAATACTGATTGTTCTATGGAAGTATGGAGTGATTGATACTCTGCCAGCACTGTTCAGATTTTTTCCATGTATTTGTTTAATAATACTAGGAGTCTTATTAACGTCTCTAAATGAACTTTGGTGATTAATGTACCTCCTTTTGCTGATAAGAGTATGGTGATTGAGATTATTTGTTGATTTTGCTTGAACTACTCTGGTAACTGGTTATATATATATTATTATTATTATTATTTTGCGCGGTGGTTTTATGTATATTATTGTTTTCCTTTCCTTCCAGACTATTGGATTCTGTACATGGTGGAAATAGAAAACACGAAGGAATGACTTCACTTGATCAACAAGATCAGTTGTTCACTAAAGCTATTAGGTTCCCCGTGGAGGAATCAAATGCATGGACGGAAAAGGTTTGATTTATATCCTAATTGAAGTGAATACATGATATGATGCTCGTGTTCCTCCTGTTGCTATAATGATATATACTTTTGTTTCATTTTTAATCAGATAAAGAGGCTTCACCTTCTTCTCACTGTGAAAGAGTCTGCTATGGATGTCCCTACGAACCTTGATGCTAGGAGACGGATATCGTTCTTTGCAAATTCTCTTTTTATGGAGATGCCTAATGCTCCAAAAGTGCGGCATATGTTGCCCTTCTCGTAAGTTTTGATTACTACTTTTCTGTGTGTTGTAATATTTTTTAGACAAAAGTGTGTTGTAATATCATGCTCAAATTGGCACCGACTCCTTTGATCTCATACTCTCCATGCTTATTCTTTGCTTAGTATGTGTTCTTGCTGTTGGTACATTCATATCTTATGTTTTTTTTATTTGGTTGATAACTAGACATCTGTACTGTTTGATAAAATTATTTGATTGGGTTTCTTGATTGCTGAAACAACTTTCTGCAATGCTAGTGTCTTGACTCCTTATTACAAGGAAGATGTTCTTTTCTCCTCTCATAATCTGGAAGAGCCAAATGAGGATGGGGTTTCCATACTTTTCTACTTACAAAAAATCTACCCAGGTTCTTTCCTCCCTTATGCAATTCTTTTCTTGGATTAAGGTACATGTGCATTTCCTTTGGTTTCCTGATGACCATCATAATTAATATCGTGTTTCCTAATCTCTTTGAATTTTCAAAGATGAATGGAAAAATTTCCTTGATAGGGTGGACCGCAAGAGCGAGGAGGAGCTCCGTGAGGATGAAACATTGGAAGAGGAGCTTCGCCTTTGGGCATCATATAGGGGACAGACATTGACAAGAACTGGTATTCTTTTTCCTTCCACCTCATGTTTTCCTTTTATATTTTGTTCTCACAAGAAAATCTAACTCAAAGGTATCATGTGTAGTGGTTCAGTGAAAGTACTTCGTACTATTCTCATTTATGTTGTCATTATTGCTCTTTTTACAGTGAGAGGAATGATGTACTACCGAAAAGCGTTGGAGCTTCAGGCTTTCCTTGACATGGCCAAAGATGATGGTATTTCTAATAGTTCAGTCTATATGTTCTGAACTTTCCTCTGTGACCTATGCAATGACTCATCTTCCTGTTTCCATTAGATCTTATGGAAGGTTACAGAGCAACTGAACTGATGTCTGAGGACTCGCAATTGATGACTCAATGCAAAGCTATAGCTGACATGAAATTTACATATGTTGTCTCGTGCCAGCAATATGGAATCCAGAAACGTTCTGGTGAAGCCTGTGCGCATGATATTTTGAGGCTAATGACAGTGTAAGTTTTTCTTTCCCTTGAATGCGCAGGAGAGCTGTTGTGATAGTGTAAGTTTTAATCAAATATTGCAATGATCTGGATATATGTTATCTGTATGTAGCACAAATTGCCTTTTTTTTCTTGCTTTATTTCTTTTATAATTTATGCAATCAAGTTGGAGCACACATGATTGTTCTTAGTGCAACAGTGCAATCGAGTGTCTTTCTGTGAGTATATGTGAATTGGGTTAAAACAATGAGTACCATGTGCATTATTTTTAGTAGCGAGTAATGAAATAAATGTAAGCTTTGTTTATTTACTATGCTGGGAGTACCATGTGTAACATTTTGTATCATCTAATTTCATATCTATTGAAGAAACAACAAAAAACAAAGCTTGACATGTTAGATATTATATTTGCTCAGGAGTCAGGACAAACATCCGCAGCTTAATATTATCACTGTTCCGTTTGCTGTCTATTCAGTGTCAGACACTTGTAGAAATGGTCCTTTTTTGCAGATATCCATCACTTCGAGTTGCTTATATTGATGAGGTTGAAGCACCTAGCCAAGATAGAAACAAGAAGACTGACAAAGTTTACTACTCAGCATTGGTGAAAGCTTCCGTTACAAAACCTAATGAACCAGGACAAAGTCTTGATCAGGTAAGTCAAAATGCCATGTAAAATAAGTACTCCCTATGGCCATTAATTAGTGTTAAAAAGGCATGTATTAATGATTGGAGGAAGTATTTTTTAGGTGAAAATGGTACAGTATACTTTGATTGAGGTTAATTGACCAATTCCTCTTTTTTTATCCCATTTGGAAGGAGATAAAGTCAAGGCTTCCTTTTTTTTCCCTTGTATAATAAAAGGAAATCTAAATCAAGTATACACGCTGTAGCCTGTAAAGATAATGTTGGCTCTGGCATAGTAAAACGCTTTTTCGATACACAATTCCCATGTTTGTTCTCTGCAGAGCTAAAGCTTAGCAGCACACATTTACAAATTATGTTTTTTTTTTGTTTTTTTTTTTTTGCTGTGCTGAGGTGAACCTATTTGCACAATTAACTGATGTTGATCCTTTTTTCATTGGAGTACTTGTTTTGATTGTATGGAAGCTGGAAGGAGTCTGATCTTTCGGTTTTTGTTCTAACTAGCTGAATGCCCGTGCTTTGCGACGGGAATTAAAAAAGAGAACCCCGCCGTACACTTTGAAGCCTCAAAAATTAAAATAAAATTATTCTAATTGTAAAAATCTTTAGGTCATATTATTCGTCATCATTTTTATCTCAATTTAAATAAATTTCCTTGTTTGATGGCTTGAGTTTGGGGAAGGGAAGGTCCATATACCTCACTGTTTGGGGGACCCACATGGCAGTGGTGATGGGTTGTGGGCAGATTCACCACTCTCCACCAGCATTGGGGTCTTTTAAAGGAGTATAGAAATACTTTGTATCGTTTAGATATCCTTAGTCTTATTTACACTGCTCTTTTTTTTTTCTGTTGGGGGAATTCTCTTGTCAGCCTCTTTGGTGCAAAATTTGATGAATTGCCATCACTTCTTGTGTAGGTCATATACAAGATAAAACTTCCAGGTAATGCTATTTTAGGTGAAGGAAAACCAGAAAATCAGAATCATGCAATTATTTTTACTCGTGGTGAATGCCTCCAAACTATAGATATGAATCAGGTAAGTTTCTTGTGTTTGCTGCTTCAAGCAACTGTGTTCTTTTAGCTTTTTGTTACCGTATTTATGTCATACTATCGAACAGGAGCATTATATGGAGGAGGCTTTGAAAATGAGAAATCTGCTGGATGAGTTTCTGAAGAAACATGATGGTGTGAGATATCCATCAATACTTGGAGTAAGAGAGCATATATTTACTGGCAGGTAATTTGGCATGCTTCATTTGTAACTAACTGCTTCTGTCATCATTTTGGATTATCTAGCCTTCAATTTGCTCAATTGTTTTCATTTTGTTAAATTTGTGCAGTGTTTCATCCCTTGCATGGTTCATGTCAAATCAGGAGACCAGTTTTGTGACTATTGGACAGCGTGTGCTTGCCAACCCCCTGAGGTATTGCGTTGTCATGGCATGATAACCACATTAATTGCTTATTCATTTTTTTTTCAAATATATTACCATCCCATTCTTTTTGTTTGAAATTATTGACTTGTCATGGCTCTCTAGATGTAACTTGAGCATTACCTTCTTTTTTTATAAAAAAAATTACACTAACATATACTAAAAAATCATAATATCTGAAAGCAGTTTTAATGGTGAACATACTAATATAATTTGCATACAATCAGTCCTGATAATTTTATACATACTGATAGTTGGGTTCTAAAATGTGAAATCAAAAGGAGCGAGGTGGGAAGTACTATTATTCATGATTCAAGGCATAGTTATTAGGACTGGACTGGACCGGCGGTTGGACCGGAAAAAACTGGAACCAGGGCCTCCGCTGGTTTGGTCCAGTTAAAAGACCGTCTGTGCAAATGACCCGGTATAAACCGGTTGGGCCGCCCGGTTTCCGCTTAAAAGCCGGTCAGAAAACCAGCACTCGACCGCTCAACCGTGAGCTGCTACTCTGCCAGACCACGTGCACGCATGAGAAGGAGGAGAGAATATAGGAAAAAGGGGTGTATGGTGGGAGTTGAACCCAGGATGGGTTGAATGGAGTCATGGCGCACCAACCACCAAGCCATGCTGTTGTTTGTGTCTGGAGTGAATCAGTTATATATTTAACCTTATTGAACCACTTTGAACCTACGGTTCAACCGGTCAAACCAGTGAACCATCGAACCGAGGACCTGACCGGTTCGATGGCTGGTCTAGTCTCAATAACTATGATTCAAGGTTTGCTGATGCTCATCTCTGACATTATTCTTTCTGAACATCAATCTGCAGGGTTCGATTCCACTATGGCCATCCTGATATCTTTGATCGTCTTTTCCACCTCACAAGGGGTGGTGTAAGTAAAGCATCCAAAATTATCAATCTTAGTGAAGATATATTTGCCGGTACCGATTTATTCCCTATCGATGCTTATTTTATGGAATCTGGAACTGCTCTGGTGTTAATGTGACTTGTGTTGCTGCAGGTTTCAATTCAACATTGCGTGAAGGCAATGTCACTCATCATGAGTACATGCAAGTTGGCAAGGGAAGAGATGTGGGTCTCAACCAAATTGCTCTGTTTGAGGCAAAGATAGCAAATGGTAATGGTGAACAAACACTGAGCCGTGACATTTATCGACTAGGGCACCGGTTTGATTTCTTCAGAATGCTGTCATGCTATTACACAACAATTGGCTTCTACTTTAGTACAATGGTATGGCATATAAACTCTACTTCTCTCTGTTTGATATGTTGGTCAAATCTTAACCCAGGTTTCTCTGTTTGGTGTTATAGATTACAGTATGGACTGTATATGTTTTCCTCTATGGGCGCTTATATCTTGTCCTCAGTGGACTGGACCAAGCACTAGCCACTGGAAAGAAGTTTGTGCATAATGCACCCCTCCAAGTTGCTCTTGCATCAGAGTCTTTTGTTCAACTTGGATTTTTGATGGCGTTGCCCATGATGATGGAAATTGGTCTGGAGAGGGGATTCAGAACAGCACTAAGCGACTTTGTACTTATGCAACTTCAGTTGGCATCTGTTTTCTTTACATTTTCACTTGGGACCAAAACTCATTATTACGGAAGGACATTACTCCACGGAGGAGCTGAATATAGAGCCACTGGGCGTGGATTTGTGGTGTTTCATGCCAAGTTTGCTGACAACTACCGACTTTATTCTCGCAGCCATTTTGTCAAGGGTATTGAGCTGATGATTTTGCTGGTTGTGTATGAAATCTTTGGGCAATCATACAGAGGGGCTATCACATACATTTTCATCACTGTTTCCATGTGGTTTATGGTGGGCACCTGGCTCTTTGCACCATTCCTATTCAATCCTTCTGGATTTGAGTGGCAGAAGATTGTGGATGACTGGACTGATTGGAATAAGTGGATCAGCAACCGTGGAGGTATTGGAGTAGCACCAACAAAAAGTTGGGAATCATGGTGGGAAAAAGAGCAGGAGCCTCTTCGATACTCTGGAAAGCGTGGTACTATTCTTGAAATTCTGCTCGCGTTGCGCTTCTTTGTCTACCAATATGGGCTTGTGTATCATTTGAATATAACCAAGCATACTCGCAGTGTACTGGTAAGTTGTCCCTTGTTTTCTTTTTAATCCTGGTGGTCACATCCGTTTTATTCATACTCAGTTCTTCTAATTAATGCAATTTGCAGGTTTATTGCTTTTCATGGGTTGTGATTTTCGTAATTTTACTTGTCATGAAGGTAACAACCTGTTCCTTAGCTCTTGGTGAATCCATATGGACTTTGCCCTCCTTATGTATCTTATATTAGAATTTTACGGTTGAAGTTTAACTGATCAGTGCTTGATACCTTTCTTGTCTGGAAAACTGAGTTATGATTTTCTTTCCAGACTGTTTCAGTCGGTAGGAGGAGGTTCAGTGCGGAGTTCCAGCTTGTCTTCCGGTTGATCAAGGGCCTTATATTCATAACATTTGTCGCCATTGTTGTGATATTAATTGCCATCCCTCACATGACAGTTCTTGATATCTTCGTTTGCATCCTTGCTTTCATGCCAACTGGATGGGGCTTGCTTCTGGTTAGCAACTAAACCTGTCTCCTATCATTCCTATTATTACAATTTTTTTTGGTTTGGAAAGAAATTCTAATGTCTGACTTGATAAAACACACTATCAGATTGCGCAAGCCATCAAACCTGCTGTCCAGGCTATTGGGCTTTGGGGATCAATCAAGGCTCTTGCCCGGGGCTATGAGATCCTAATGGGACTCCTGTTATTCACACCCATAGCGTTCCTTGCTTGGTTTCCTTTCGTGTCCGAGTTCCAGACCAGGATGCTCTTCAACCAGGCCTTCAGCAGAGGTCTGCAGATCTCCCGTATCCTTGGCGGGCACAAGAAAGACCGATCAACCCGGAACAAGGAGTAGACTGAGCGGCGAGGGCTCCCCCCAAACCAATTGTTGTAGTAGTATGCATTATCCTAGTAGGAGTATCCGCCCCCAGTTTTGCGTGTGCTCTGATTGTCACCAGATTCAGAGACCGGGGGAGGCGTACGCTAAGCTAGCGTATCAGCATGTTTCAGTGTATCTGCAGATTCACAACATTCGCACCTCTCCATTATGTAAATCTCTATCGCTCATTAGCAAATCGGAGCATCTAATTTAGAGATGTCTTCTGGGTTAGTAGTAATATATCTGGTGAACAGAGTTGATTGAATGTTTGTGGGAGCAAATCATGTTTTAAAGATCCTGCTCTTGCATCTCTTAAGGCATCAGAGCAGTTTTTGATGTTCTTGTGGTGTGCACGATGCTCATGTGTTCCAGGGAAAAAAGAAAGAGAGCAAAGCTACTATTAAGCTATAAAGTGGAGTATGCTCCTGGGCAACGGCTTGTGACTTGTGAGCATGGATCATTGGCAGGCAGATGCATGTGTCTCCCCTCCAAGAAAAGAAGAAAAAGGAAATGCACATACTAAGTTTTCAGGTGATACAGACAAATGGGAAAGCTGTTTGCTTGAGTGGGTGGTAATGTACGCGGCGATTGCTGACCAAGTATGCATAGCATACATGTTCTTTTTCTGCTTTGATGAAGTGCACCAACCACCGAACCCACAACTCCAACTAACACCGCTAAATTGCTACAGCCCTACGCTGATGACGGTATGGTTACTAAACCGCCTGTTTTGACTGCTCTTACTGCTCAATACATGCATGTTTGGAGCTAAGTGGTGGTGACTTATTTGCTAAAAAAAATGGAGAAGCATAAATGTTAGTGTAAGCACATTACAGAAATTCACGTTCCACTGGTGGAAGGACAGGGCATGCTTGGTTAATGCATGGGTTTTACCATTAAAAAAAGTTTTAATCTGAACCATCCATCTTTTTCCTGACCTTCTATTTATTGTAACCCATTATCCAAAACGCCTGATGTTCACACCTACGCAAAATGGAAGAAACATTAGATCATAGTAGACACAAACTATAATTAGAAAAAAAGAGATCAAAATAGTAAAAGAACAAATCAAGGTGTGGACTGTGGGAGCAGAAAAAGAAAGAGGCTAGCACGATACGATGCACTTTGTGGCTCTCATTCTCCTCTGTGTTCGTTCTGTAGTAAATTAGCGGATCTCGTCCCATTATGTGGTCTGTGTTTAGTTCTTAAAAAAAGTTGAAAGTTTGAAGAAAGTTAAGAGTTTAAAAAAAAAGTTGAAAGTTTATATGTGTAGAAAAGTTTTTGATGTGATATGATATGATAGAAAATTAGAAATAAGTGGGAAACTAAACACGGCCTTGCTGGTACTGCCGCCATTGAGAAAACGGGCCAACACCATCATTCATGTGGCTCGCGACTGTCAAGTGGGATCCATATATGAGTTTAGAAATAGCTTAATTATTCAGATAACTTTGGAGGCAGGAGTACTAATAATGATTAACCAATTAAGCCTTGCTTTCAAAAAGGAAAACTGAGTGCTAGTAGAAGTATAGTCTTAGGGCCTCTTTGAATCACAGGAATAAAAAAACCGAGGAATAGGAAAAACATAGAATTCTAACAAGAATACAAGTATAAAACAGAGGATTGTAAAACACAGGAAAAATATAGGAATGACCGTTTGATTGAGTCGTAGGAAAAACACAGGAATTTGAGGAGAGATAAAGACTCAAAGGATTTTTAACATGAGGTAGAACCTCATTCTAAATTTCCTCCAAAACTTACATGGGAAGAGGCATTCCATAGGAATTTCATGCGATTACATAGGATTCATTCCTTTGATTCAAATGGCTATATAGGAAAAATTTCTATAGAAATAAAATCCTTTAAAATTTCTATGAATTTTCTTTGAATAGAAGGGGCCTTAGGAAAATCCAGTAGAGTGGAGTTTCTTTTCAAGTGAACCTGTTGCTGGTGAGCTGTACTAATAATATCAAGCATAGAGGGAAGAGAAGAGAAGAGGACATGGCATGCAGGAAGGGAAGAAAATGAGCGAGTGGCTGGCGTGAGAGCTTGCAGCTGGCGCATATTGGATTGGATTATCGGGGAGGAAAATCTTTAGGGTGGTTTCTAGAGGGGACGCGTGGTTTGCTTGTGTTGTGGGTGGCCCATTGCATTTGTTTATCCGTAGCAGCCGCGTCACGCTCTTTCTTGCCTAACTCGATCAATATCAGCCGCTAGATATTTCCGCTACCATACAAACACTCTGCAACCTTTCTTCATACTGATAGTATTTTTCTTCCAATACTGATAAAATAAAAGAGAGATCGTTGACAGTATTATTGCTTTTTGTGCTGTAGTTTAGCAGTTGATTTAGCTCCCTGGAGTGCACTGTGAGTATGATTTAGCCTACTTCATCCCTTTACTTACTCATAGTGGTTAAAAGAGCTTGGCTCAATTAGTTTCCCAAAAAAAAAGATATAGTAGAAGGAAACCTTGTTTGAGGGGGTTGGATATTATTGTTGATTAGCATCAAACCCATCCCTGTCATGAGCACCTTGTTCAATTCCGACAAGCATATCGTAAATCTCAGCCAGCTCCCTAATACAACTAGTGTAGTAGCTTTTGTGTGCAATACAGTCAGCAACTTGGTCATGCTCCTGTCCACTAATTTCTTTCAAGGAAAGCCATCCGGGCCGTCGTTATTTCCCTGTTTAATACTACTACTAAGAAGGAATACTGAAAGCAACGCAATATAATGTAGGCCACACATGTATATGTTGATTTTTTTTTGCATTGCCCCATGGAATTAATATGTCTGACGTGCACTCAACTCTCCTGCCCATTATAGTCACCTTTGTTACCAGTAGCTTCATTTGCTAAGAAAATACTCCAGTGTTGATTCATATGCTTAGTAAAATTTTTATTTTTCTTAAAATTAAAAAGTTGACCTTGGTGGTTATGCCTTCCTCTCCAAACTCAACTAGTGGTGACATAACATTTGACTCTCAAAAGTTTAGGTCAGGGCTATCCTTAAAAAAAAGTTAAAAAATCTCCCCTCCTCTAAAAACTTTGAAATATGGCACAACATCGGCAGGTAGGTCCTCTTCCAACTAGTTCTTACTTACAATAGCGTAATTGTGTTAAAAAAACAGACATATATCCTCTGTAACACTACTGATACAATAACGATGACTAACATATGGGTCTAAGGCCACGCGGAAGTGTTTGCTAGAGCACCAGTACCGCAGGCAATCCAACTGTTTGGAAACCTGGTAGAGACGTGGTACTTTACTTAGTTGTCGATATTTAGCTTTATAGAACATGTTTAGAGCAATTTTGGAGTTGCTTGGAGCTAGTAATTGGTGAACTAGGGCATAAGCAAGTTTTGGGCGGTAAAAGCTATAGTGATACGCAGCTTATAGATCTTTAAAAATTACAGGCAGATTAGATGAGCACAGAACTAGAAGCAATCATTTGTTAATCGCTCGGGATTATACTAATTGAAGCACAGTAGGATCCAAGCCAGCCTCCTAAAAACATGTGGCCAGGGATTTTTGGGCAGCAAAACCCAATTTTTTTTTTGTAAGGAAGATGAGAAAAGGCCAAGGTAAGGTGAGGGTGGGCCCGTGATAGCATGCAGCAGATCTTTCTCTTATTTTTATTGTCTGGAACCCTCTGGAGCCAAGAGGGCAAGAGGAGGAGGAGAAGGGACACGTGTCGTGAGGAGGAGTGACGTGTCCGCCAAAAAGCGTAGAGTAGCAAAAGAAAGAAATCTTGTGGCTGCGCTTTGCTCTCCTCTCTCCGATATTTCCCAAGCTGGACCAACAACGCCCACCCGTTTTTGCCTGCAGCTAGACTATGACAAAAGTTTATACAAGTGGATAATTATTACTAGTACTATATCTCATTTTGTGTGCTTAATCACGCAATTTTCCCTTTGTGGTTTTTTCATCAAAAAGAAAAGAAAAATCCAGTCGGTTGTTTCTGGTCACAAATATCTCTCTATCGATTCACTCCTGGCCTCTCCTGTTTGAACGGTTGTGGATATTTTCAGCTTATTATCTGTCTGTCTTCTTTTTCCCCAACCCCAAATAGTAACAGTTTTCCGCATGTGCAAAACGCCAAAGCATATACATACATATATATATATATATATATGTATATGTATATATATATATATATATGTATATGTATATGTATATGTATATACATATACATATGTATATGTATATACATATGTATATATATATACATATACATATATACAATATACATACATACATACATATATACATATATATATATATATATATACATATATATATATATATACATATATATATATATATACATATATATATACATATATATATATATATACATATATATATATATATACATATATATATATATATATATATATGGTGCTAAAAGAATTAGACAAGAGAAGAGTAATCGGAATGGTTTTAGAGACAATTTATCTACTAGGAGTAGTAATTTTAATCCAATAGGAAAAGCAAAACATGGAGTGACGTGCTGGATTCTTGTCTATTACTCGTAAGATAGTTATAATAAAGATGTGTGACTGCAGGTGGGGCCTAGCGCAGGGGAGTCGAGAGCCACAAGATGTGAGGCGCCTTCTGGAAAATTCCAGCGCTGACAGATGGGTCCCACGTCCGACGTGGCGCCCTTTCCTCTTCTTTCTCTTCTCTTCTCTTCTCCTCCTTCCTTCCAAAAATCTCTCCTTTCTTCTAGTTTCCTCTTCCTCTCGCATCCTAGCGGCAGCGGCAGCGGCAGCCTCCTCCTCCTCCGCCGCCGCCGCTCCTCTTCCCTCTCCCAACTCCCGTACGGGCGTACGGCCGCCTCGTCGCCGGATTTTTTTTTTCGTTCCCCCGGCGAGCTTGCACTCTCTTTTCTTCGATTCTCTTTCGGCTTTGCTTCTTCGGTCGCTTTTTTTTTTGGCTGTTCCTGGTCGATCCCGGCGAAGGAGGTGGTCGGGAAGCAAGATTTGAACTACTCCTCCTCATGGCTTCCATGCCGCAGCTGGAGGTAAAGATCTCCTCATATATAGCCAGGTTGCTCTTCTTTTTCTTTTTCTGGCCTTGCGCAACCGCTGATAGAGAGTTTGATGATGATTTGTGTGGTCATTTGCTTAACTTTGCAGATTTTATTTGCAAAAATATATTTTTCCTGGACCGATCCATTATTATTGCCTAAAAAAACAAATGTATTGCAATTTTTTAGTTAAAAAATGGGAGTGTTCTAGATGCTTCTCTCCTGGTTCTGGGGCGGATACACGTCATAATTATCTATCTTTAGAGGCTTCCAGAACGACATGGGATGGCCAATACTCCTCCTATACTCTCTCTCTCCAATAACGGCACGAATCCTCAATTAACAAATCCTTCTGCCTCTGCTTACTGGAGTACTACACTACACTAGGTAGCAATTCTGTTTCTACTACTACTTTTTACTAGTAATTATCCCTCCCTTTGCAGCGGTAAGTGGTACTAGTAACTACGGAGTTGTTGTTGTAAACTGTCTGCGGCAATTGCAAATTATACGAGTACTTGTGTATGCTTTTGCTAAAGCACTGAACTTTGTGTTCCTCTCCTGGCCATCTAGGAAAAGGATTCATCCGATTTGGCAATCAACAAAGGCCCGTCGCTGGATCTTGTCAAATCTCCCTTGATGATGAATGATGCATCTGCAACTGTAACTGCAATGCAGCCCAACGAGGGGATGGAGGAGTTCCCTGTCAAGGTACTTTTGACATCTATGCAAGCCGATCCTTCTTCACTAGCATGTCTTACTGGCAGAGAGGAACAGAAAAAATTGTACTTCTAGCTTACAGCGTTGTCACTGTACCTAACAATCTCCAACCCAATGTTTGAAGCAGGTTCGGAAGCCTTACACGATCACCAAGCAGCGGGAGAAGTGGACGGAAGAAGAGCACGACAAGTTCCTTGAGGCATTGAAGCTGTATGGTCGCTCTTGGCGTCAGATACAAGGTGCGTTTTGGCCTCTCTCTCTCTCTCTTCATATTTTTGCCTTACATTAGGCTTTAAACAAGTTCAGTGAGTAGTATGTCTGATTTGTCCAAGCTGTTCTCTAGAGCACATTGGCACAAAGACTGCTGTCCAAATTCGGAGCCATGCCCAGAAGTTTTTCTCAAAGGTGATATAATAATCCTTCATGTACCAATTGATCAATCTGATTGATTTATTACTACACTGCCGATGCTATATTTTTCTCTATATATATATTACATGTGCTTGTAAAGCAGAATTGGTAACAGTAAACTTGAAATGGCATGCTCAAACGTTTCTAATGCGGGGGCTTTATTTAGCAGGTGGTGCGTGAGCCCGGTTCCAATAATGCGATTGAGATCCCTCCACCTAGGCCAAAGAGAAAACCACTTCATCCGTACCCTCGAAAGTGTGCGAATTCTGGATCGGACGCAAATCCAGCAACAGCGCAATTGAAGCTTGCTCCTGGCTCATCTTCATCTGGCTCTGATCAAGAGAATGGTTCTCCTATATCGGTGCTATCTGCGATGCAGTCAGATGCTTTTGGATCGTCAGTATCCAATCCATCAACCAGATGTACCTCCCCAGCGTCATCTGACGATGGAAATAACATTCCCACATTCACGAGTGGGGAAGATAATAATGTGCCTTGTGAACCAACAGTGATAGATCCGTCCCAGTCCCACAAGGTAAACATCCATCCTTCGAATGAATCTTTTTGTCAAACATGGTAAATCGCCACTTCATCAGCTTATTAGGGTTATACATGTTTCTGTCACAGGAAATAGACCAAGATAGAAAAGACGTGAATAATATGTCTGAAGAGGATTCTTCAGAAGAAGAGGTGCAAGAAACAAGCTTGAAGCTATTTGGGAGGACAGTTGTCATCCCAGATCCAAGGAAGAGAAGCTCCTCAGATCCGAAGCATGAAAGTGAGGAGCAGATATCACAGCCTTCCAATGAAGAAATGTTGCAGGCTTCTTCATCGGTTGGGGAGATTCCAGCGGCATATTGTGCACCAAATGGTTGGTTTATGTCATACAATTCTTTCCCATTCCAATTCGGTGAATCAGCGGCAGATGCTAGAATTCCCCCTTTACACGTGTGGTGGCCTTACTACGGTTTTGCTCCCATTAGCCATCCTAGAGGACTAAGCACAGTGATGCAGCAGACTGAAGGTAGTGACGAGAGTGACGGTGTGAAGAGCCACTCATCCGAATCAAGTTCGGACTCCGGGGAAAATGTGCAGATGACCGCTCCCCAGAGCTCGAGAATAGTGGAATCACTTGGAGCGATTTACGTCCGAGACTCAGGTTCAAGTTTTGAGCTAAAACCGAGCGCAAATTCAGCGTTTGTAAGAGTGAAGCCAAGCAACAGCGGAGATGAAGAGGTAATAAGGGGATTTGTGCCTTATAAAAGATGCAAATTTCAATAACGCAGGCAAGCGGGTATTTTCTTGAAAGCTGCTAATTTAACAGAGAAGAGTAGGAGCACGAACGTTGCTTGCATCACTGTATTTTTTTTTGTTTGTTTGCGGGGATTGGTGGTGCATTAATGAATTGTTTGCTGCTTGCACCTTAAAAAGGATAGAGATGGTGTAAGCAGTTTGTTGCTGTAAGAATGTTACATGTAGACTAGTACTTAAAATTATAGGGGATGCCAATCTCTGCCCTGATGATGTTGTAAAAGCAGTACGCACCATGTTTTACCTCTGGTTGAAAGCTAAGCTGTTAATGGAAATTGATCTCTATGGACTGTTTGGTTGTTTGATTTCTCCCTTTTACAGATTTGACTATTTTCTTCGGTCCAAAATTTCATGTTTATTATCCTTAAGATTGTTGCGCACAAAGTTCGTGTAAATTAACCTTAGAAAAGAAGTCAATTTTAGCATTTGGCCGAAATTTAATTTTGGAAAAAAAAATGCATGAATATTTTTTTCATGTTCAAATTTTTCATGCTATTATTCTTGGTATCATAGCATGTAAAATTCATAAATATTAACCTTAGTTTAAAAAAAATCATAATCTTGGCATATACTTTCGTAAGTTATCTTAGGCTAAAATTTTGTGAGTATTAACCTTAGGAAAACCACATGTATATTTTTCTCCACTCCAAAATTTTACGAGTATTAACATTGGGATTGTTGTTGATTATTTTCATAGGGTCATTTTCTTTGTGATTTTTATCATACGGCCCATAGATTCTCGAGCTATGGCATTTGAACAAAATACATGAGTATTAATCTTTAGAAAATACTCCCTCTATCTATTTTTGATAGTCATATTTCATCTTGGCACACAGACCAAGGATAAGTAATTCTACTTATCATCCATTTAAACATGCTACTAGTCATTCATTGTAAACAAGCGATTTATTGATATTTACGTTTCTCGATGCCTATGTAGCCAATCTTGTGTGGAAGAATAAAGAGTTATGCATTAAATCTGAGAAAGTCATTAAGATGATAGGTTGTTGAAGTAAAATATGCTTATCAAAAATAAAATTTTCAGATTTGGAAATATGACTATCAAAAGTAGATGGAGGGAGTAATACATAAGTATTTTGCTCTGGTCCAAATTTTCACGACTATTAGTATTGGAATCGTTGCAAAAAAAATTTATGAATATTAACCTTAGGACCAAAACTTTCGTGATTTTTAATCTTCGGCCTCTTTATGTGAGTTATAGACTTTTGGACAAAATACATAAAGTGCTAATCTTTGGGAAAATGCATTAATATTTATCTTCATCTCAAAACCTCATGACTATTAGCACTGGGATCATTGTGCTCAAAATCCATGAGTATTAATCTTAGGACCAAATGTTTTGTGATATTCATCTTTCTTCCCATAACTTTGTTAGTTATAGCATTCGGCCAAAATTCACGAGTATTAGCCTGTTGGAAAAAAATGCATGAATATTTTTCACCAGTCCAACATTTCATGGGTATTAGCATTGTCTTCTTATGAACAAAATTCGTGAATATCAATCTTAGGAAAAAAAAATTCCACCTCCGGCCTATAATTTTTTGAGTTATAGCTTTCAACTGATGAATGTTTCTCTATGGTCCAATATTTCACAAGTCATGACTATTAGCCTAGGGTTATTTGAGCACAAAATTCGTGAGAATTAACCTTAGAACAAAAAATTTCATGATTTTCAGCCTTGCGCTTATAGTTTCATGAGTTATAGCCTTCAGAAAAAAAAAATGAGTATAATCATGTGGGAAAAAATGCATAAATATTTTTCTCATCTAAAATTCTACGAGTATTACTATTCAAATCATTGTGCACAAAGTTCCTGAATATTTACTTTAGGATCAAAGTTTTTGTGATTATCATCGTTCGGCCAATAACTTCACAGGTTATAGCATTTGAACAGAATCTATGATTATTAACATTTGGGAAAACACACAATTAGCTTTCTCCTGTAAAAAAATCACGTATATTAGCATTAGGATTGCTCCGTGCAAAATACATGAATATTAACATTTGGATGATAATATTTGTGATTTTTCACATTGGCCTATTATTTTGTGATTTTGTATCCTTCGGCCAAAATTCATCACTATTAACCTTTCATCAAAACTCATGATTATTAACCTTAGGAACATAAATTCATGATTTTTAGCGTTCAGCCTATAGTTTTCTTAGTTATAGCCTTCGAACTAAATACATGAGTATTACCCTTTGGAAAAATGCGGAATATTTTTCTGTCTCAAAATTCACTACTATTAGCCTTGAGATTGTTATGTACAAAACTCATGAGTATTAACCTTAGGATCATAATTTTTGTGATCTTCATAATTCGTCCTATAATTTCATTGGAGTAAGTAATAGACTTCGACTAAATTAATGAGTATTAGCTTGTGGAAAAATCAAATCATGAAATCTTTCTCCAGTCCAAATTTTCACGAATATTAGTATTGAGATTGTCATGCACAAATTTCGTTAATATTAACCTTAGGACTGAAATATTTCTTATTTATAGACTTTGTCTATAATTTCGCGAGTTATTAACGTTTGGAAAATGCATGAATATTTTTCTCTGGCCCAAAATTCATGATTATTTGCATTGGGATAGTTATATACAAAATTCATGAAAAATAATCTTAGAACTAAAATATTGCGATTCTTAGCCTTCAGCATATAATTTCGTATGCCTTTTCATCAAAATTCATGAGTATTAATCTTTAAAAAATGCAGAATATTTTTCTTGGTCAAATATTTCATGTAATTTCTTTGGGATAGTTGCACACAAAATTCATGAAAATTGGCCTTCGGGCAAAACATTTCGTCATTTTTAGCCTTCTATCTATAGTTTCGTAAGTTATTTTTCTTAGGTCCAAAACTTCATGGGTATTAACATTAGGATTATTTCACACAATATTTGTGAATACTAGCCTTGGGACCAAAAAAAATGTGATCTTTAGCCAACTGCCTATTATTTTGTAGATTTCGGCCAAAATTCATGAGTACTAACATTAGAAAAAAAGTGCATTGATGTTTTTCTCTGGTATAAAATTTCATGAGTATTAGCATTTGGCTCTTTACCAACAGAGTTCATCAATATTAACCCTAGGACAAAAAATTCATGATTTTTGTCCTTCGGCCTATAATTTCGTGAGTTGTAGCCTTTGGTCAAATTTCATGGGTGATAACATTTGGAAAAACAAATGCATGAATATTTTTCTCCAATCCAAAATTCACAAAGTTCGTGAAAATGAACCTTAGGACAAAATTTTCTCGTTTTTGTCCTTTGGCTTACAATTTCATGAGTAATATAGCCTTTGGTCAAAATTCATGAACACCAACATTTTGGGAAAAAATGCATGACTATTTTTCTCATATCCAAAATTTCATGATTATTAGCCTTGGGATCATTGCACTTAAAGTTCATGAATATTCGTGAGTCATGAGTCTTCAGCCAAAATTCATGAGTAGTAACCTTTGGGGAAAAAAAAGGCCAAAATTCACAAGTACCAGCATTGGGCTCATTGTGTACAAAATTCACGAATATTTTCCTTATGACCAAAAAAAAATTTGTGATTCTTAGCATTCGGTTTTCGTGAGTTATGTAGCCTTTGGCTGGAATTGTTGAGTAATTAGCTTTTTTAAAAAAAGCATAGGAATATTTTTCTATGGCCCAAAATTTCAGGAGTATTAGCATAGGGATTGTTACACAAATAAATCATGAATATTAACATTATGACAACAAATTTCGTGATTTCTATCCTTCGACATATAATTTCGTGAGTTATAGCTTTCGGCCAAAATTCATGACTAATTAACCTTTACGAAAAAATGAATATTTTTATCCGTCCCGAATTTCACGAGTAACCCTGGAACCAAAAGGCATAAATTTTATCCATTGGCATAGGAATATATCGGTAATACCCTTTGGCCAAAACTTCAAGTACATTAGCCTTCATAGGAACTGATGTATAGCCTGGGACCTAGAGACACATGTATAGCCTGGGACATAAAGTCTTATACTCTTATAAACACATGAATAATAGTCTTACGGCCTAAAATTAGTGAATATTGGCCTTGGAGCCAAAAATGCAACAATTTTGCCGTCGGCAAGCTTCGTGCTATAGTTTTTGTTAGTACTCCCTCAGGATTGATGATACTCATCGTTTTGGACAAGGGCTAAAAAGTAAAAACGCATGAACGTTAGCCCTTTGCACAAGGTTTTGTGATTATTAACCTTGGGGGAAAAATAAATTTTATCCATCGGCCTAGAAACAGATGAGTATGTACGAATTATGGGCCTGTAATTCGGCCCACCATTCCAATAATGGTTCTCGACGAACAAGATAGAAGTTCACTAAATAAACATCGTTGCTATAATATTATCATGGTTCTAAACTAGGATCGGTAGACCGTGCAATCCACAAAGAGAAAAAGGTCAAGCATTTCGAACAGAAAACTCACAAATTTCTAAGCCACTGGATTACAAGAAAAATCTGTCACTGAACAGAAATACGTCCGCAGTACAATCCATCCCCAGATTCTGGGTGAAGGTATTTACAGGAGGAAAATGTAAGGCACAAGAATATGAAAACGCTAAAAACATGGACAGCTCGTAATTTTTCAATCCGCCGGATTGACTCACATCTTGTACAATAATACAAGGTATAAAGAATGTTTATAATCACCATCCCACCAACACATATGCGCGGTAGAACATCAGATCCTAGGTACAAAAATAAGAAACACAAAGCAAACACACAAGCAAGCCCCATTGCAAGCTGAGGCCCAAGCAAAAACTGTCTTGCCCTTGTACGTGTATATATATTTATCTGCAGTAAGGTGCACAAACACATGATGATGACCTCTATAGTACAATCAATACCTGTCAAAATGCACTCCATCTGTCGGTTCCATGCTTCGTCGGGCTAGAGGTGTCTGATGACTTGAACGGTCCAGTACCAAAAGGATCATCCTCATCGAACGAATAACCTCGGCTGTTGTAGTCCGTGCTCTTCATTGAATCAAATCTCGCAAAAGCATCTGTTCTGTCATGGTCGCTGCTGCTATTCATGGAATCATACCTCGTGAAGCTGTTGCCACCACCTTGATCAGCATTGCTGCGGAAAGAATCAAATCTACCAAAGGTGTCATTGCTGCCTTGATCAGCGTTGCTCCGGAAGGAATCAAATCTTGAAAAGCTGTCACGCTGCCCAAATGAATTGCTGTAATTCATGCCAAATGAGTCCATCTGCGAGAAGGTGTCGAATGAACTGTCGTCTCCAGCTTCGCTATATCTTGGTGAGAAGCTAGAGTTGTACATTGGTGTGCTGGGAACAGAAGAATCAAAGAAACCCCTTTGCTCTTTGCCATATATGCTGCTGGCAGTAGGAGATTCTGCTCTGCTTGGGCCAGAATCAAACAGTGATCTCTGCATCGGGGTGCTTGGAAAAGAGTCAAACAAAGAGTTCTGCATAGGAGTACTTGGTACAGAATCAAATACTGATTTCTGCATTGGAGTACTGGGGACAGAATCAAAGAGTGACTTCTGCAATGGCGTACTTGGGACAGAATAATCAAACACTGATTTCTGCATCGGTGTACTAGGAACAGAGTAATCAAAGACTGATTTCTGCAAGGGTGTGCCTGGGACAGAATCAAAGAAAGGCTTCTCCACTGGAGTACCTGGGACAGAATCAAAGAATGGTTTCTGTTCCTTGCCATAAACACTACCAGCCGTCGAAGAGCCTCCGGTCCTTATTGGAGGAAGACCTTGTGGCCCAAAGAATAGGTCTGAATCACCATTCTCACCATCCTGAGAAACAGATTGCAGAGTTTAAGTAGGATGAGAAGCTTATAAGCATGACACAGTAGCACAAAAGCATGAAAGGAGTTGCACCTTGCGATTGAAGTTCCATAGGGAGTCATTATCATCACCATTATCAAACGATGGGCCCCAATAATGTGAATCGTCTCTCTTTTCTCCATGAACAGGGGAATCTGCTCCTCCATTGTTACTGCAAAATTTACCATGAAATAAGAACATAGGTTTCACACAAGTAAACAACAATGAACTACCCAAACTGGGACTTGTTTCACGTATCAAGTTCAGGATTTGAATGGCCCTACTCCAGATAAATTTAACAATTATATATTGGGAAACCAAAGCACTAGTAAGGTTGAATTATGTAGGAGCGACCAGCGGTCTTAATAGTTCAATGGCAGTATCAAATCCTGGGATGTTTACTGATCAACAAAGTTGACAGGTTCAGAGCAATTAGAGATTACACCTTTTGTGTATGAAATTGATGATATGGGGGAAGGAAACAAGTTTCTGTTTTCATAGTAGGACGATCTGCTGTATAGTTCATATAAGATGAATACCTGACACTCTCAATTGCACGTGACGAGGTGTCGTTTGTCCCAGATTGTTTTTTATCACGTTCATCACTATGGCCATCCTTTGTGTTCTTAACAGGACTAACTGGAGGACTTTTTGCTGCAACCGTTTTGCTATCGGAAGGAGTTGCATCAGGTTCTACAGTTTGCTCAGAGGCAGCGGCAGATTTATCACCCCTGCTATCTTCTTTCTCTGTTGATGTAGGTGCTGATGGCCCATTGGTAGACACTTTACTGTCTTCAACGGTAGGCTGATCCTTTTGTACAACAGGTGGCTCCATTTCAACTGTGAGTTCCTTTATTGTGGAGAAGCCTGGTGAACAGGTGGTGTACAACAGTAGAATTCAGAAATGTTATATAAGAACAAATTTAATAGCATAGCTGGTAACAGAATCAAGATTCAAGTTAGTATACCATCATCACCAAATTTGTCCCATTCTTCATCCCATACAGCTGCTGTCTCTTGTATTCCAGGTTGCCAACCTAAAAAATATGATAGTAAAGTTAACCTACCATTACCATGCCAAGCAATATAAAAAGAAGAGCGGGATCCTCATTAATAACAAGGAGCAAATGAAGTTAATAGCAGTGAACTAAAATGCGTTTTGGCTTAGTTTACCTGGCAAACTAAAGTAAGAATACAAGAATATGTTGGATAGAAATATATAGACAAACAGGATGGTAGCAAATACCAAAAGGAAGCTCCACAAGAGTAGTTGGCTTAGCTCTCAACCCATATCTCTTGCACTGTTCATTCAAAGATTTAACAAGCTCCTCAAGATCAGATTGTATCTGGTTAGCTCGCTCCTATAAAACGAACAAAAAGATGGTCAAACAACAGTTGTATAGTATGATGAAATGGAAGGTACTGGAAGAACCTAAAAAAAACACCTGAAGCTTTTCATCATTTCCATCCCCTTTCTGCAGTTTAACTATCGCATTATAAATCTCCAATTTCTTCTCCTGTAGATAGCAGAAAAAATAATGTCAGACTCACACAGTCCATATCTCATGAATCTTTTTTTTAACAATTTTCTACTGGCTGAGATAATGCCATAAATATCACTGGTGTACCTGAATCTCACGGAAAGTGGCCTCATCCATCGATAACTTTGATGCTACATCTCCAACCTTCTTACATCTCTCATCATATTTCGCTGCAAGGGATTGAACCTGAACATGGAATTCGCAGAGACTGTGAGATCAAGTAAAATACCATATATAAAGAGTGCCCATTGTTGCAATACACATCATGATGCAACAAGATACATCAGATGGCATAGTTGAATGCTTGAATTGCAATTCACACAAATTAAGAGTGCACAAAACAATCATTCTGGCTTCAACTCAAGCAACATATAATTCTATAGAAACGACAAGTTGCACATTGCAAGATCTATGACCGGCAGTTAATCGAAGAGCATGCAACAATGGGAGGTTTTTACAGATGCATACAGAACAATATCTCATGATGTAAAACAATGTAAACAGTTCAATGTATGAGAGGACCGAGACCAGAGATATGAATTTTCATGTCTCTTTTGCCTCCGTCTGCACATTAAAACTTGTATGCATGGAGCTCATTTTCTTAATCAAAAGTTACAGGAGAACAGTACCTCACGTTTATCAGCAGACATCCTTTCTGAAACTTCATTAAACCTGTTATCGCACCTACTTTTGTAAAGAATCTAGGAGAAAATAAGAAAAAAAAACAAGTTAGGCATGTGTTCACAAAAATAGCAAAGCATGAATAGATCATGTTCAACAATCCAATTTCATCTATTGCCTATCAACAAAGAGCTCTGCATATTTGGGTTATGGCACGGTGGTAGGTAGGATACAGCAGGTTTGAGTATTAATCATGACAGTAGTTGAATGGAAATTTTGTACCAGCACCTAAAGCAGTGCACGATTCATGGAAATTGAAACTAGAATATGAAACAATGAAAACTTCCTGAAGATTTCCCAAGCATATCAAGAAACATAAACTGTATTACTTATCAATACACATGTGCCAAATATGTAACAAGGCATGATGATAAAGATCACTTACAAGCTCCTGCATCTTTGTGCGATAGAACTCAGTCTTCTCTCTCGAATCCAGGATTTCCTTTTCCAATTCTTGAACCTTCATAAAAGATTTAAAATGTGTTCATAAAACACATCATGAAGGCCTAAATTTGCACATTCTATCACGTATGAAGATGCAAATCTATGTTGGAATTCCAAAGATGAATAAAAAAGGTAATATACGCTGTTACCGCCAAGACAAATATATCTATTGAGGATTTAATGCCACTAGCTTTTTTTCCCAATGGAAATGTTAAACATGAATCCACTTCCCAATGAAAATATTAGGCACATGAATCCAGTTGTAAAATTCACTTCAATTTTTTTTTATGATTTGCTACTGTTTGTCTCAATTTTTAGTACATTCAAGTTCTTGAAATATTTCAATTAAATAAATGCTATGAGGAACACACTTTTTTATCAGCATCTGAAGCTTCTTTAAACTTTGCATCTAATGCACTTCGCTCCTCCTTGCTTAGCTGGCCAGTAAGATGTTCCTCCAAGACTGGGATCTTTGGCTTCTGTTTTTCTGTTCGCACTGCATCATCAGCATCCAAAGAAAGCGGCCTTTGAGGTGGTGGTTTCATGGATGACGGAGGCATCCCATGATGTTGTCCTGGCATTGCTCTACTTGTAAATCCTTCAGCAAACATTCATTAAAACCCGTTATTGACAAGAGACTTCCTTAGCAGTTAGTAACAGGAAATGAACAAAACAGCTTTTTGAGATGGATACCAGCACTTGGATGGGGAGCTGGGCCAGTAGGGTTTTCTGCAAATTGCCCCGTAGAAGGTAGTGAAATTCCTTCTGCCCAGATACCATCTGGTAGTACATCAGGAAGAGGACGCTGCTCTCTGTGCCTCTCCATTAAGTACACAGCAGTACAAAATTCCCGGAAAGATAGCATCCCATCTTTATCCTGGTCGGACAAATCCCACACCTTCCTTAAGAGCTCTACAAATGGAGAGGGCAGGTATTTAGAAACTTATATACAAGAGAAAAGAAGAAGGGAAACTCAAATGTCAAAGGAGAACTGCAAGCATCAGAAGAATGTACAGTCTGATGCTGTTGTAGCTTGTTTCTAGTAACGAAGGTTTTCCCTCTGGCTCAAAAAAATAGAAAGAAAGAATCTACAATTGAAGAAAAAAGAGCTAATAAATATATGCTAAGAAAGAAATAGAAGTTTGTTTGTGTGCTTTTTATTCATCGATAATAGAACATGTAAATAGAAGTAAGGAATACCAAAAGATTATAGTGCTAAGCCGCTAAATTCCAAGAATACAATAACAAACTGTAACGGAGCTTCAGCTGTACAAGAAACAATACGATATTGATGGCAGGTTAGCATCCATAGTCTAGTAGGTTTAATTCAACGTGCAGCTAAGAGGAAATAATCCAAGTAAAATAATAACAATTTATGTATGTCCACCAGTATACAGTACACATCAATCTCCACATGAATTTAGCATCCACAAAGGAATAAACTGAACTCATGTACAACTAATCATATAAAAGGCAGAAAAGGAAAAAAGGATGCTAACAATTACAGGATGAATTTCCAAACTAACAGTTCTACTTTCACACACAAACTGGTGCGGTGCCTGCGCCTATAATCACAAACAATGGTAACTAAAATGCATAGATCACACAGATCATGGGCCATGGCAGCAGAGCCCGCAGAAGTTAGAATGGGAAAAAAAAAGTGATGTACCTCTTGGAAGCCTCCAACTTAAGAACAGATTCCTAGCCTCTTCACCAGTAATTTTTCCATCTCGGTCCCTGTCTACCTTAATAAATACAATCATATATTTCCTTACATCTGCTTGAGTGATTTTCGGCCATGGAGCTTGAGACTGGTTCGTGTTTGAAGGAATTTGTCCACCAGGAAAACTACCCATAGGTGCTGGAGCGCTTGGCATGGAATTAAACTGGTTTTGCTTTGGAGCTGGCTGTGAAGGGAGTGATGCTACACCCTGCATGGGACCAGTCTGCAATGGTTTAGGGGGGTGATGAGGTCCAGCGGATGGTCCAAGAGCATTAGCACTAGGCAAACTATTTGAAACCACAGGGGGGGAAGATGAATCTTGCTTTGCTTGTGGAGTTGCAGCAAAAGGGTCGACACCAAATGTTGAGGCCGATGATAATCCATTCCCCAAAGGCACCAATGCCTTGGAGTCATTAGCAGCTGGCGGTGAAGACAGAAGGTTTAAATCTGCTGAATTCGCCTTTACAGATGTTGTACTGGCTGGAGTGTGAGAGCCATAGCCTGCTATAGGAGTTGAACTCTGTGTTGGTATTCCCGCGGTAGCAAGGTTGACCTGTGGAGAAACACCTCTGGTTGGAGTTTGTGAAGTTACACCCAATGGACTTGCGCTTTTCTTGCCATTAAACCAATCAGTTGATAGACCTGTTGTTGCTGGAACAGTATGGTTTGGAACACCACCTGCGGGCGCCCTTGGAGCAATTGCCTGAGCAGGAGTGTTTGCAATTGACGCTTGTGGTGGCCTGACAACATTACCAGGTTGAAGGACCTGTGGATTTAGTGATGTGCTAAGGGGGCCCTGGGATCCTTGTATAGCAAGACTCTGCTGAGCAGGGCGAGGTGCTTGAGTGGGTTGCAAGGGGCTAGTGACACTAGTTGCATTAGGAAGTGGAGTTGAAACATTTATCCTAGGAGCGGGAATTTTTGCAGCAGCTGGACCATATAACGCTGACCTAACAATATCCGGTGTCAGTTCTCGGCCACTCTGCGCTACCGTGACAAGTCTAAGAGCATTGTAGAAATCTTCACGGCCAAGAAAACCAGTTCGATTTTTATCAGCATACGTCCAGATCTGCAGCAGAAAATTAAGTGGCATGCAATTAGTAAGCAAAATATTGAGGGTGCCAAAGCAGAATGTTAAGAATACCAGAAAGTAAAGGGAACACACTAAGATCAGTTCACGGATGGTTTTTTTTTTTTTAAATGAAATTCTCACCTCAAACCAATATACTCGCATGAAAATTTGAGAGGTGAGTGTTCTAGGATAGTACGGAACAGGGTCATATTGACAATGATACAAAAGATCCAGGGTCCAGTTTTTTTTTAAGAAACCAAACCATACAACTCCCTTCCTTTGAAAACAAAATCACATAATCTCGAAACCTAATGTCGCTGAAAACAGGCACAGCTGAAAGGTCCTAAATTTTGGCATCAGAAAGCAGCAGTCCATAAATCATTCAAGATTCGAGCTACAGTTGAGTTGTTTTTTTAAGCACCTAGTAGATTCCAAACAGTGAAGTACAAGGTCAGCATAATTAGACAAACAGTGTGATCTTGTAGTGCAGAAGTAACTAGGATCCAAGTTGAGCCCATTGAGGTAACAGGGGGCACAAAATTGTGTAGATTATAAATGATAAAAGAAAATGACACTCCTCGGAGGAGTAGAGTTCCCTATCTATGTGACTATATATATATTGATTGAGAGGTACTCCAAATAGGTACAATCCATAGGGTAAGAGAAGTGAACTAGTAGTTGGTAAGTATGAGTAGTAGAAAAATACAGAGAAAGGGAGTGATTGAATTAGGAAGCAGATAAAGCAGCAGCAGCGATGAGTGAGAGGTAGGAGTAGATGAGATGAGGGAGCATGAAGAAATGAGCACAGATAGCATGGGTCGAAATCCGCAGGGCTAGAGGGCAGGAGAGCGCGGAATTGAGGCGGATTGAGGTGGTCGGGGGAATCGAATGCAAGATCTATGTGGGGAGGGGCGGGGGGATTGAATACCTGGGCTAGGACGGGTTGGGGGAGAGCGGAGGCCTTGAAGAAGGCGACGGCCTCCTGCCCGCTGATCCGGCCGTCGCGGTCCAGATCCGCGGCGCGGAAGTAAGCGTCGAACGCCGCCTCCATCGCGGCCGGAGGAGGCGGCGGGGAGCGGGGGCCGTGCGGATTCGCCTGGCGCGAGGGCGGCGGAGGCGGCGGGGGTGGCCGGCGGCGAGGGTTCCCGGCGCGGCGAGATCGGGAGGAGAGGAGAGAGAGGGTATGGGTGTTGTGTTGTGTGGAAAAATTGGAAGCCGAGAGATTATTTGGTGCGGCGCAGGGCTTACCCTCGATTTCGCTGGAATGTTGAGGGCCCTTTTGTAAAATCACCAGTACTACACTACTTACTCCGCTGTAAGCCTGTAACTGTTGCAGTAATTTCCACTAATCCACTAGGGTTTTTCTTTACTAAATAAACAATGTTTCTACTATACTCCTTTCCAGTAACAGGTTGATAATACTTAGATAAAAATATGATCTCAAAAAAAAACAACTCGATAACTATTCTCCGTTATAATATATATAAATATTAGTAAATATATGATTTTATTGAAATATACTTTTTAAGACTAATCTTTACATATGTTCTTCATGTTTTTAACACAAATATTTTATAAATTATTCATATTCAAATTTTTTTTAAAAAAAACTTTTCTTTATTAGTTCTTTTTTTAAATGAATAGTTCAATTTATCAGTTTTATAATATTAATTCACTCCCAAATAATTGTCTTCAATTCCGTTTCATCCATCGCCTACCAACAACATATCCTTAAACCAACGGTAATCCGAGGAGTGTTGATATGCTAATTGTCTTGATATTTGAAAAATATATTGAGTAAATTCCAGGAAACTCCATACTACATGATCAAAGTTGTATAAAACACTTGATATTATGACTGCTGGCACATAATCCCATGAATTATAGTTATAAAGTTTCATAAGACACATTCTTACACTTTGTATATGATGCATTTGCTTAATTTTAAAAATATATAATGCATATGAAAATTTTCAGTTATTGATTTTTTTTCATTAAGTTGTTGATTCAACTATTCGCTATATATTGAATGACATTGTTTCAGGTATGTTAAAATTAATCGAGATTTGAATAAGAGTAAGGTTTTGTAAAGCACTCAGACCACAAAACATGTGATTATATGCTACTACAAGTCATAATACTTATGATTTTCTAAAACTTTGATTAGAAAACATAGGGTTTTCTTAAAAATCTACCTTGGGCTCGGAAAATTTTGGATGATGAACATATGAGCCCGATCTGGCTTCTTTGGAAAATCTATAGGTTGCATGACAAAACTTATGTTGTCCAAGCACAGTGGCTAAAATAAATTGCATGACATTAGCATGCAGTTAAGTTTTAGGTCATTCAAATATATACTGGAGTATGCAAAATAATACAAAAGTAGGGCAGGCAGGTGATAACGGAGTAGTACTCTACTCTACCCTCTTGTGTAGTTTATGTATGTCTCTATCTCAACCTCACACACACAAAGAAAAAGAGGGAGGAATAATCTTTGTTGCATTGTGTGGCATGTGGCCATTTTTACGATTTGTTATTTTGTACTCCACATGGTATCTGTCGTCCAGCACAAAGTACGGTCGTACGCTGCAGGTAAGAATTACCACTCCAGTAACTTACGAGAAATTCTCCCAAGATTTTCCTATTAGTTTTTAGTGAAAGAAATAATGGATCAATGCAACACTTTTTCGAGCACTCAATAGATGGTGTGATTTTTACTATAACATTATATATAAGAACTTTTTAAAAACTATTTTTAATCTATTTTCAACTTTATAATAGTTAAATTAAATCATTCAATTATTTAGAAAAAAAATAGGTTTTCTATCATTAATCTTGCGCAGCCAAGGGTGGCATATTGCACGACTGTCAAGGTTTATGGGTTTTTCTGCTAGCTCAGTATTCATTTTTCCTACAGTGTAGATGTGATAGGAACCGGGTATTACAGGCAGCGGTAATGATGCAACGATTTGCTATAATAACCGGTGATGGCGTCAGGATGACGTTGCATCAACTGCTACTAGTGCCGACAGTCAAAAGAAGCAATAACAAACGAACGACTCCTATAGTGGCATTGCTGTTTTGCAGTAACAAGACAAGAGGAATGGTGCATTACCCTGCTTCCAATAAGCAAGCAAACACTAAACTACTCGTTCCGTCTAGTAAATAAAGTCAGCTTTTTCTAGATTTATCTTTGGAATTTGATTTGATTTTTTAAAAAAGTTTAACGGAAAGAGTACACTACACTAGAAGCTCCTGCTGCTGCATCACTACTACATACACAGTGCATTCCATAGGGTAAGTGCAAAAATCTCTGCGGGTGGCTAATGAGCCATCATTAAATCAGGACAGAATCACAAAATCATCTACACTGTTACTGTTGAAGATGAGAGGACAAGAGTGGAGATGAATGCTGGTTTCAGGTTTGGTTGGTGCCACATTACATCACTCACCAGCACTGCACCTCTGCACTACTACACAACAGAGAGAGAGAGAAAAATTAAGAAACACAATAATACAAAAAAAAGGGTGGCTAAGAGGCCAGGCTGGCAGCTTAATCACCTGTGAGATTTGAGATTTGAGATGAGATGCCAACCACAAGTGAGCAGCAGCAGCAATGAAGCATGGTGATAGATGGTTAGACTTGCTTTGGTTGGGTAGATCAGATCTGAAACCATTTCTCTCTGAATAATGATGCCCACTTGCAGCATCCTTTAGAGCAGGTATGTACGTAAAGCACTAGAAATGTTCAATACTATGTCAGGAAGCCGGGCCCACCAGTCAGCCACACAAGAAAATCAGAGGCTATACATTATACTATAGCACATCTTCAATATTTCTTTCTACACACGCGTACATGAGTTGTATATATATATTCTCCATGGACAAGTTCATTTCTTTTATCTTTTCTTTTTGAGCGAAGGTTTGTTCTTCTTGTTGCATGCATGTTCATCATCATCATATCAAACAACCAAGAGGAATTTGTATTAACAGAACAGAGCAGAGCAACCGGCAACCTGTTATTGTTGGTCAAAATTCAGGGCAAGCTGAAGCTGAGATGCGCTTTCATTCAGGTCGACGACGGCCATGCTGTCCGTGTGAACAGAACAGCTGCCGAAAAAGCGAGCAGCAACTGGACTGACCGGGCAACAACCAGAAGGGAAGAAGCTCAGATTTTTCAGCAACTGGCTGGGCAGCAAGACAAATAGCACCATATCTATCTCTCATCTGTGCAGCTGTGCTTGCTTGGTGCATGCATGGGGTGCTTCCAAAAGAGCTGGATAACCTCAGACGCCACAGTCACATACATCAACCGAGCATCCATTCAGATGTTACACCAACTAGCTACTACTGGCCACACACAAGCCCAGGATAGAGTCGGAGATTGTTTGGTTTCCCCCTTCAATTCCATTCTGCTCCAAATATAGGCTCACTGATCGACTGGAAAACATTGGCACACATCTATGTTCACAACCGAACAAGAAACTGAAGCCTATCATCAGCTAACATAATTCTGCACATAAATTTTCATGCTCTACTGATATAACAAGCTCTCAACATATAGACACCCCCGTGAGATCAGTCAGCAGTTAAAGAGTCAACATTTCAAGAATGGAATTGGCAGGTTGCATAATCACTCTCCTTCAAGTTTCATTGCCATTATGCCCCATGCTCATACATGGCTAAAGATCTAGAAACCAATATTGCTATTAATGAAGAAACTGTCTGGTAGATCATTCACTAGTGACTTCTTTAGTGTTGTGTTTTCGATATGAAGAGTGGACAAAATTAACCAAGTTAGGTCAGCCACAAGCTATGATCAAAGTGAAGGGCAATCCCTTTGATAAAACCTAATTCCAATTCTGTTCACAAGTAATTAATTTCATTAGGTCCATATTGGTCAAGAGACCAAAGCACTAAACGAAATAGGCAACTACATTCTAGATTGTAGCCAATAATAATAATAGTAGTAGTAGCAGCTCTTGCCTGTAATGTCGACGACCCAGCATTTCAAGACAATATGACTTTGTCACAGATTCTTGCTAACATAATTGGGAAGAGTGGAGCAGAAACAACTTGGTAGAAATATCCAGTAACTTATATACCATAAAAGCACGCACGTTTGTATGAAAATCAAATAGAAGGTGGGGAATCTACCGGGAGAGATCACCTGCCCTCCCTGTTTGTCCGAATGGTAGCTTCAACATACAAAATCTCACAACAAACATAGCTAAGACAAGCATCTGCCAACTATGAGCTAAGGTACCTCACTAATCAGCTTTCACCGAAGCAGAGGTCTCAGCCGCCGAAGTAGAGGGGCACACGTTGTGCAAAACCTTACTGTCAGAAGAGCAGTGTGATGTTTTGAACTTTTTGAACCTCCATACAGATGAGATCTTCATCGGCGCCAAACCATCACCGGGATCCTTTGCATCTACAAGCTGGTTCAATCTCTTTTCAGCTCCATTTTGCTTTGATTCGTCGTATCGTATAGAATCTATAGACGGTTTTATTTCTTTGGCCTCTTGTGTATCTTTACTATTATGTTGGTTCAAAAGCAGTTCCTTTCTCTTGATCTTCACTTTCCTACCAGCACTTAGGTTTCCAGCTCCAACTCCATTACCAACGATAGCCCTACTCTTTGTAGTATCATGACCAGAAGAATCTTTATTATCATCATCAAGACCCTCATGCTCGGAAAATGGCACAGGGAGCTCACTAGATTGCCCTAAAGAGCATCCGTTAGTTATCGTGCTGACCTCAAACGTTGGTGGATAAGGTGAAGAACCATTGCAAGCATCAAGCACACCCCCATTCTCAGCAGCAATGGTGCGTGGCCTCTTCGGTCCAGTGAAGGAAATGCGCGGCGAGCTGTTCATGGCGCGGTGCAATTTGCGAGCAACCTCTTCATCGGTCTCCCTGCCGCGCCTGCGGGGCTTGGAAGAAGCATCCCCAGTAGTAGGAGGTCCTCCTCTACCCTCCTCAAGGCGGCCATTGGGCTTGTACAAGAGCTTGACCTGCACATGCTTCTTCCTGGATTTGAGCTTGAGCTGGAGGCCGTTCCTGGATGAGGCAGGCCTGGAAATGGAATCGAGGAACTCCATGGCAGCGCGGGCAGCAGCCCTAGCCTTGGCAGCGACGGCCGCCTTCTCGGCGGCGGTGGCCCGGGCGGCCGCGGCAGCTTGGGCGGCGGTGGAGGCAGCCGACCTGGCGGCCTGGACGATGTCGTCGGGAGAGGATGAGGAGGCCATCATGTGGCGGAGGCGGGCGGCGAGATCGGCGGTGAGGAGCGCGGGTGGGGGAGCATCGGCGCAGGGAGGGGCGGCCATCCTGAGGCCGGCGAGCAGTCGCTTGCGCGGCGGCAAGTGGGTGTTCAGATCCGACGCCTCCATTATCTTATATGAATGCTTACTCTTACTACTACTAGTATATGTATTGGAATTTGTAGATCACAAGAAGAAGAAGAAGAATTGGATCATCGCATGCATCCGATTGAGCAATTATCATCACCAATCCAATCAATCAATCAATCAGCAGCAGCAGCTAAAATCAATCAATCTGCTCTCACATCCATCCATCCCACCACCACCACCAAGGCGGCATCTCCTGTCTAGCAAAACAAATAGAAACGGATCGTTCCACCTTTAATTTATTATTGGGTTAGCTAGCATCAGAAATATCGATAGAAATTGGCATGGAATTGGAATTGCGGCGGCAAGCGAAGAGGAGAGGAGAAACCCTACCTTGGAGAGGAGGAGGCGCGGCGCGGATTGGATAGAGATCAGCGGGGAATTGGGAAGGATACCCACCCTTCCCCGTTTGTGTGGTAAGAGAAATAGAGAGAGAGAGAGAGAGAGAGAGGCGTGGTGGTGGTGGTGACTTGTTGTTGTTGTAAGCAGGAGGAGAGAAGAAGAGGAGAGATCCCAAAAACCCAACAAAACAAGACACAGGAACACTGTTTTATATGCCTCCCATTTTTATTTACAGTGCAAACCCTAAAGTTATTCTCTCTACGACATCTACCGTGCAAAATCTATCCCACCTCTGCTTTTGCCCTGTATTACTAATTTAAAGTATTAAATATAGACTACTTATAAAACTAATTACATAAATGAAAACTAATTCGCGAGATAAATTTTTTAAGCCTAATTAATCCATAATTAGAGAATGTTTATTGTAGCATCACATAGGTTAATCATGTATTAATTAGGCACAATAGATTCATTTTTTAAGCCTAATTAATCCATAATTAGAGAATGTTTATTGTAGCATCACATAGGTTAATCATGTATTAATTAGGCTCAATAGATTCGTCTCGCGAATTAGTCCAAGATTATGGATGGATTTTATTAATAGTCTACGTTTAATATTTATAATTAGTGTCCAAACATCCGATGTGATAGGGACTTAAAAGTTTTAGTCCCATCTAAACAGGGTCTTACTCCCTCCGTCCCCTAATATAAGAGATTTTAACATTTTGCATGCACTATTTGACCACTCGTCTTATTCAAAAAATTTGTGCAAATATAGAAAACAAAAAGTTGTGCTTAAAGTACTTTGTGTAATAAAGTAAGTCACAAATAAAATAAACAATAATTCCAAAAAAATGAATAAAACGAATGGCCAAACAGTGTAAGCAGAATGTCAAAATCCCTTATATTAGGGGACGGAGGGAATAACACTTTATTTTCCATAAATAAAATAGACACTTCACATGTTAATACTTTATTATTATTATTATTATTATTATTATTATTATTATTATTATTATTATTATTATTTTACTCCTATATTCCATAATGTAAGGTATGGTCAAACTCGGCATGATCTCTAAAACTATTTTTTTTGACTTATAATCCTCGTAGCTTTCAATCTAGGAGACAAACGTAAATCACAGTTTTATTTAGCACTACACATGCTTGTATCACTGTACACATAGCCACTCTTAACACGTTTGATTGTCGCACTACTCATATCAAAGGTTTTTAGAGGGTAATAGGGTATTGTTAGAAGTTCAAGAGAGAGTCATTGTTTTGTTTTCACATGCTCCTTACACAACTAAGTAGACAATTGTGAGTTATTTTCATATATAATAATAAAATAGTTCTAAAAGAGAAATACACTACAGATTATATGAGAGTATATAATGTTAAATAAATATATGTGTCATAGAATATTTAGGTATAACAATCTATGCGCAAATAAACATGTATCGGAAAATCCTCTAATAGGGTTTGTTTGGTGGAGTTTAATATTTTGAGAAGCAGCTGGTTGGTAATCGGCTTCTTACTTTCAGTTCATTTTCTGGATTCTACAACTACAGCTTCTCAGAATCAAAATCAAAAGCTAAAAGGTTTGGGGGAGCTTCTAGTTCTGAGAGAAGTTGCAGCAGGTAGAAGCTCATCAAACAGACACATAGAGGATTTCCATTATCATTCCTTGATGTAATTCGTACCGTAGATGCTTGCAGTAAAAGAGATGATTGCATTTGATACGTAGTTATTATGCTTATTGCTGATTTGATATGTATTTATTTATGCTTACTAGCAATATGCCCGTGCTTTGCTACGGGTAAAATAAATCATTAAATGCTAAAAGACACAGTCAAAGACTGTGTAAGTTATATTTTACACACATCCAGGTATCAGATCCATGCTAGATTTGAATTTTGTATATTATAGTAATGTGTGGATGACGAATGGCGATCGGATGAAGTGATATGACGAACAAAAACATGTGGGAGAAAAAAAAATGAACATGCGAGTTCGCGTACGATTTTGGGAGCGAGATAACAATATGCCCATGCGTTGCAACGAATGAACTAATATTAATATTAACAATAAATAAAGAAAAAACTTTATTTTCTGGGGTTAAATTTCTTGTCGGTTCCACTTAAATAAAAAAAATCAAAGCGTATTTTTTTAAAAAAATTGTAACTCTGTTGGGCCGAGACGATAAAATAAATAATTAAATATTCTAACTAAACTTTGCATTGATTCCATTTAGTTAGAAATAAATTAAGATGCACAGATAAAATTAACCGTAATTTTATACCTTAAAATTGATGGACAACATTAATTATTATTTAAGTAAAACAATAAGTGATTTTTAGGTGCAAATAAATGAAAAAGAAATTTTCGGCCTAAAGGCCGTTGGCAGCCCAAATGGCAAGCCGGCCCATGAGGAGTGAGGCTCAGGCGCGTGGGCGAGCGCGTGAGGCCCAGGCGCGGGCATGCGCAGGCGGCCCAAGTGCAGGCATGCGCGTGCAGCCCAATTAGCACCCGCAGGCCCACTAGCCTGTGCCGTTGGATTGTAATCAACGGCTAGGATGCTTGTGGCGGTGTAAGTAGGCGCGGGATGGATGTCGTCTGTAGGATCTTGATTGGACGGTCCAGATTTCTCCAATTCTGAACAATACACTTGCCCGGTCATAACCCTAACCATTTCTTCCCTTCCTCCCCGATTCTTCTAGCGCAAAAGGCGACGGCGGTGGAGCGGCGGCGGCGGCGTTTCGGCGGAGCGGCGATGGTGGCGGCGCTCCCTTCCTCCCCGATTCTTCCGGCGCAAAAGGCGACGGTGGCGGTGCTTCGGTGGAGCGGCGGCGGCGGCGTTTCGGCGGAGCGGCGATGGCGGCGGCGCTTCGGTGGATGTCGGCGGCGCGACGTACCCGTGTGTGGCGGGCTGATGCCACGCATGGCTCCGGCGGAGCTGAAGCCGACGACGCGCAGCGGGTCGACACCGAGGCGAGCCCCAGTCTGGTGCGGCCCACTCAGGCAGGCGAGCCCCGATCCGGTGAGTTATGCCCCCAAGGTTTTTAGGGTTTGTACTGATTTGGGGTTTTGATTTAGGATTTGCAAAAATTAGGGTTCTTGATTTGTGGAAACTAAAAATTAGGGTTTCAAATTTGGGGAATTTTAATTTTTGGGAGAATACGTGAAAAGGATTTGGTTGGCACTCTGTTCTATTGACGGAATCAAATTGGCACCCGTTTTTTCTCAACAAAACCCACCTAGTAGATCAATTGAAGAAAGAAACGGTGAAATAGATGTGACTACCAAAAGAAAAAAACTGATTACCGGGTCTATTTGGTCTGGATGGTGGGCCTGGCTTTGTAGATTAGGAAATTGTTGTGATTATTGCCGAACAATCCTCACATGTAATCGGATTCAATTTTTTTTCCACCCGAGTTTGTTTCTTTCTTTTTTTTTGAATCGGACATATTCGATTTTTTTTGGGTGGGGGGTGATGGAATTCCGACTGGGATTTTGGGGGAGGCGAGGGGGACGAAAAATCACCGCACCTATGAGGTGACGACCGGAAAAATACGAATATTTATATTAGTTATATATAGATTGCTGAAGATAGTGTATACCTAATCACTACACCGTGCGTGTCATTAATTTGGTGTATGTCTAATTTCTTTTTTAATTTACCTATTAGGGTTTAAATTCTTATATCCATAAATATATTTATGTGCATCCTGTTCCTTTACTTATGCAGAGAGAGGTCGGAAATTATAGTTTCATCGTAAGAAAAATGCCCTGATATTTGTGTTGCTTGATACAGTATTTGATAGAACTTGGGCTTTTGTCTTAATGCTTGATGTTCGACAGCTCTCTCGCTGCAATTTGCTTTGCTGTGCAAAAAGCATTTATACAAGGCCATCACTTGTCACGTACACGATAATTAGAAGAAATAGCTAATTCACACTTTTTTTTTTGGTCACCGAGAGATAGTTTCGCTGTCATTCTGAGAGCACGTTGGGTTGTTCAGGTCAAAGCGAGTTAGGCTACAAGTGCAGAAATAATTATCGTTTTTCAAGTCAAGGACAGAAGAACACTTTGACGGTGCTTCCGGATCTCGGTAAACGAAACAAACGAACTAAAACTTTTCCAATACCAAAGTTAAGAATTCTAATACAATGTTCTCCTTTTTTTGTTTGTTACAAATAAAAACACTATGTACATGTTCCACTCTGAAATCTGCTGCTTTGGTTTCTACTAATTGTTACCATTTACTGAAGAAGAAGAAGAAGGGGAAAAAATAATCAATCAGCTGCATTTTGTGAGATGAAGAGCTCCTGCACAATGTCAGCAATGAGCTGGTCGAAGATGGCACGTTCGAGCTTCCTCCCCAAAACATAGGAATCCTCATGCAACACCTCAATCCATGGCGATGTCCAGGCCTCTCGTGCCACCATGCTCTCCACTGTCTGCGTCTCCTGCTGCACCGGAGGGTTCCTCACACTCTGCACCTGAAGAAGAACAAATCAACAGCACGGTCAATGACATTCACAAGCTTATTTCGATCGAGACCGAGCAAGCTTGGGATTACGTCACCTGCTGCCACACATCGACGAGCAGCTTCCTCCCCGGCGACACGCCGGTGCTGTCGACGACCCACCGCCACAGCGACGACCCGGTCTTCGTGCTACCCATCATGGTGATCTCAAGCGCTTCGTTCGCCAGGTCGAACAGCATCCTGTGATCAGCTGCATCTTCTTCAGTGTTGTAGGTCTCCTCTACCTCGTCGAAGACGTAGTCGCAGATCGGCCTTCTTGCCATTGAGTCCACCCGGGCATTGTTCATCATCGATGGAGACGAGTACGACGACCCGTCTTCGTATAGTCCCACGGCAATGAGGACTTGCTTTATGTACGCCATCTCAGTATAGCTCTCCTCGGTTTCAGTTGCGTTCGTCCTGTTCTTGCATGATGATGATTCATTGCTGGCTATGGGTGTTGTATCAAATTCTGACCAACTTTTCGGGCTCAGTTCTGCACAACATTGGACTCATTGTTTTACACTTCAGGTCTCAGTGAAACTCTGAAATGTAACGAACGACAGAGAGAGGGCCGTAGTTTTTTCATACCTGGCAAGTTGCAGTTCAGATCGCTGAAGAAATGGCGGGAACTGCTGCCTTTAACCTCCAACGGGGACACCGGGCTAGGAGGCAGCTCGGTGAAATTCTCCTGAAACAAATGCAGCAAAGGAAGTGAATCCATTGTACAAAAGAAAGTTATTCTGATCCTCTCAAGGTCAGGCCTGAAATACAGATTTGATTTTGACAAATGTAGTACAGTGCTTGCCTGTGCAACGATGAAAGGGCTCAAAATTTCAGGAGGTGACGGTGGTAACATGCCGATCGCCATCTTGTGTGGGTGGAACTCGCCCAACGATGGCTTCAGTGACCAATGCGTCTTCTTCCCGAACAGCTTGTTGGCTCTCGATCTCAAGCTGTTCCGCAGATTTGACACTGTCCCTCTCAAACTGAAGCTGCTGCTGTTCTTGCTCGCTGCTACTGCTGCACCTTCAGAAACCGCGTCTGAATTCCCATGCCTACCGCTGTCCACATTATTGTCCTCTGCAAACAGGCGACCTCGAGAGATCCCTGACGCCGGTGCAGAGAATGACCGGACTAGTGCCCGTGGCGACACGACGTTGGCGTCAGCAAACTTGCATTCTCCTGTGTAGCTTTGGTCATCAAAGCCAGAAGCTGGAACTGACTCTGACACTGACACTGACAGAGGCATATCTGTCAACGACCTTATTCTTCCTCTGCTTCTTCTGATTATTGGAGGAGAACAATCATTGGACCCTTGATTGGTTCCACTGGTTCTTGAGGTGACACTCGTCGGACTGACGTGCTCCGGAGATGCATTTCTTGCAGCAGTAGCAGCAGCGTTGCGCTTGCGGTCACTCCTGAATGCTCTGAATGATTCTGATCGGGAGTACAGCCTCTTACCAAGATCCTGCCTTCTCACTGTCTCTCTGATCTGCTTCGCGATGTCTCGAGCGATTTGCTTCGGGTCAGTAGTACCCCAGCTTCTCCTGACAACCTCACTTTTGGACTTGAGCTTGAGCTCTTTCTTGAGCCTCTCCTTCACCTCCTCAAGAAACTCCTCCATGTTCCCTTCCCTCTTCACCTTGGATGAACTGAACAACGATTCTTGGTCACTGGCAACAATGTCACAAGTACTAGGCTTGAGGAGCACTATCCGTTTCTGGGAACGTGGTTTCGCAGACGTGCTTATACTGTTATTATGTTCATCCTCCAAATCTCTGAACTTGTCCGGCATCGTTGCACAGTGGCTCACCCTTAAAACCTTTATGACCTTATCTCCAGGAGATATGTTAGATTCTGCTGCAGCTTTTGCTGAAGTAATCTCTGTATCACTACTATTATCTGTAGCATTCTTCAGGGTGTCTTTCTCTGCCATGGAAATCGTGCAGCTTCCATAGCCAAATTTGGCCATCTTTTCCTTGTGCAGGTTCTCCTGTGCAAGAATCTGAATGTACCTACCTTCTTCCATGCGGTGTCTACTACTAGTAATAGTAGGACACCCTGAAGCTGTAAAAACGGTTCTTGCATTCTCCAGTGCTTTGGATGTTTGCCATGCCTGGAAATCCTCCCTGATCTTCTCAAGCAGCTCCTCCTGTGGATGATGCTGACGCGAACGACTTCTTCGCGGTCTCATTTTCTTGAGACAATGCCTGTAAGTGTAATCAACACTGCTGCTACCGTAGGAGATCAGGCTGCATTTGGATTGCCTGAATGTTGCAGAACGGGGTGATGTGACAGTGATCATTTCCAGTTTACTTGGCAGCTTCAGGTTGCTGACTTCTTCTGCATGGATCATCACTTCATCCCTTTTTGCAGATACCGGGATTGTGCCGATGCCCATCAGACGTGCAATGACACTCGGCTGGCTGGGAAAAATATCCTTGTGGATCACATTCTTTGCAGTGGTTCTGTCTTGAGGGGTGCTTCCCTTGGGTGGCTTCTGCCTCATCTAAATATTTTTATTAAAGAAAAACAGTAAATACGATGGTACTAATTGATTGCATTAACAAGAAACTTGAGCATTAAGCATAGGAGCAATTAAGTACAACATACAGTACTAGTCATGGTGATGGTGGTATGGTCGTACAGTGGAGAGTCAAGGCTATTCCGGGGAGCTTCAGGGCCTACAACAACAACTAGTAGAGTCTCCATTAACCATTCAGAGGTCTGCAGATAATCCATAGGATTGCTATCTAAATACGCACTGTTTCCATGTATTCTTCTTGCCGATTTCCGCTGTTTTCTGGGCAGAGCTGCGTTGTGGTGCAATAGGATATCTGCCATGAGTTTCCTTGAGAATTTAGTTCTTCCTGCTAGCTGAAAGAAGGCAGCCCATATGTGTGGAGATATTAAGATGCAGTTCAAGTAATTAAGAGGAGGCCATAATTAATGTAGTAAAGCTGAACATCATGTCCGGTAGGATCATTTTAATTTTTGCATGTTTTTCCTGACAAAGAAAAAAGAGAACAGAATCTAACAAAATGCCCACACATTTCATGCACAAAATGTCTGTAAACTGTTTTTTTTTAAAAAAGGATTTTTTGTATACTGCTAGTAACATAACAAAGTGCTATTGCCGGGACCATCCTGAATATAGTCATTAGACTCATTACTGAAGAACATGTACATACTATAGCACAAAATGCTGGAAGAATGGAAGCTCTTAAGAAGATCAAACTCTTCAAGAGAAAGAGAGAGTGCGAAACCTCCAGATTGTTGAAGAACAGCACAGCAATTGCATCATGCAGCTTCAGAGATGAGATGCTTCAATTCCTTGGCAGGGAGAAGAATATGTTGTGTTGATCGCCGAGGAAACAAGGCAAAATGGAATGGATGAAGAGGAAGAGGAAGAGTACTCCCAAGCACGAAGTGACGGCAAAGAAATGAAGGAACCATCAATCAGTTGAGCAGAATAAAATAGTAAGGGCAGAAATTTTAAAGAGAGTGGCCTTTGATTTGTTTATCGCTGAAAGGGGACGACGTGCTGGAGGGTCTAGGTCCCATGTTGGATTACCCTCGTGCGAGTCATCATCATCATCTCATTTTTCTTTCTGGGCTTTATAAGTATATGTTGACGAATGAATTGAATTAAAACAATGTTGATTAATTAGTCTGCAGGAGGTTAGGCTAGCTGAATTAGCTTGCTTGCTTGCGCTGGAAAGGTGGAATATATATGTATGTGATGAACAGCTCAAGAACTCACAGTAACTAGCTGGTTCGATCGATCGATCTTCATTTTCTTAAGCAATAGGGGGAATCAATGGCCTGAAAAGCTAGCTTCACTGGTGTTTCCTAGATCTTGTGCATCACTGCATGCAATGATGCAGCTTTTACTCCGATCCTATCATCATCAGTTTTCTTGCAACTGTACGTGTCCGACGTACTGCCAGGACGCTGTTACTGCTAGTAGGAGTAGTATGTACCTGATGAAAAGATTGAAATGCTGCTGGTCAGTGCATGGATCGGAATGTAAGATGAAAACGGTGAAACGATTAGCATATCCGATGAACGGAAACAGACGTAATACGAGAATAATATACTCATGTTCTGTGTGGACAAAAGAATAATTTCTAGAATAGAAACTAAGTTGTGCGTGCCTGGACAAAAGCCACACGAAAATTCTCGATATGATAATGACTCAGGTTCCGCCTGGATAAAATAGATCATTTATTTATGCTAATGACTCATGTTTGGCGTTCTGCCAGTGCCTGGAGGCTGGACAAAGGAATCATTTCTGAACAAAAACTCCTGTTCTGCCTGGACAAAAACAAAATAAAAGCCCCCGGCGAGGATCGAACTCGCGACCTTTCGCTTACGAAGCGAACGCACTACCACTATGCTACGGAGGCCAACTTGTTTACTAATAAATTACTCCCTCTGTTTTTTAATAAATGACGCCATTGATTTTTTGTCATATGACCATTCGTCTTATTCAAAAAATTTACGTAATTATAATTTATTTTGTTATGAGTTGTTTTATCACTTATAGTACTTTAAGTGTGATTTATATCATATACATTTGTATAAAATTTTTGAATAAGACGAATGATCAAACATGTGAGAAAAAGTCAACGGCGTCATCTATTAAAAAAGGAGGTAGTATTCAATAATTTTATTCTTGTTTGAGCTTTCAACACGAAAACAGCATAATTAACAGCACGAATACTAGCCGGAGCAGCATAACCATAGGACGCAAGGCAACTGGACGTGAAATGCATGCCGCCATGCCATAAGTAGGGGAAACCAGGAAAATATATAGCAGAAAACTGAAAACTTATCATTGTATCGAAAAATAGATATTTCAGATTGTAGATTTACTCATGAGTAAAAATTTACTAGATCATGATGACGTGGATAAATTTTGAATATCTAATTTTTTTATCCAATGGTAGTTTTTAAGTTTTCATTATATACGTGATTTTCATCATATATTTTTCTAGTAAGTACGGAGGGAGGGGCACAGAAAAACCAAGGGATGGGAATGGGAGAGAAAATGAATCCCGATGAACATGTACGATCTTTCAGCAGTTAGGGAAAAGTTATTATGGAGTAATAGACGTACAGTGAGTAACAATGCGACGACCAAAAGTAATGAAAGAAAAAAAAAAGGCAAGGAGGCAGCCCCTCATCATCTACTGGTACTTATTTGCACATCAGTCACATCCATGTTCTAAATTTATAGTTGACTTTTGGGTGTTATTACTCCTACTTTATTTTTCAATCTTGGGTTTACTTATATTTTGTTTTAAGTATATTTCTTTTTTTAAAGACTTGTCAATCAAAAGCTTGAAGCATACTCGCTTCAACTGAAAGGAACCAATTTCTATCTACGAACTTAGATAGTGGGTTTAGTCCATATGAACATACCATGGTGAGCTTTCCCTTTATGTTTGTCAGTACTCAGAGGGCAAAAAAAAAAAAGCACTCTTTCCTTCCTTCCACCCAACCTCCTTTCCCCTCTGTCTTCGATGGCCATAGGTCGCCGACGGGAAGGTGGGGTCGGGGAAAAGTCAGGTTCATCCCGTTGTATATGGTGTTTATCTTGTAGTAGGCTCATCTTCTATTCTTTCATGTAGAGCTCGAGGAAGATGCTATCACCCGTCTTCTTCGTCTCGGCTACCTTCTTCCATTTCTTCCATGTATGGATTAACCGGAACTTGCCCTGGCTCATGTCGTCTTTATGAGGGTTGGGTTTTTCACCGGTGTTCATGGCAGCAATGCAACATATTCATTATAGGTTGGAGGCCTTCTTCCTCCACGACGACCAAGTTGCGCCAGCCGTTCAAATCTACTCCGACGAGTTTGTTGTTGCCGGTTCGGTGTCAATCATTGTCTCTGGTGTAGCATCTTCAAGGTTCGATTGAGTTTTCACCTGTTTGTTGGGTTTGCTTTAACCTCCACCTTTGAGAGGCCCTTGTTAAGTATGCGGCTTGATGCTTTATCTTGCAGTCCATCTCGCTTTGGTCGTCGCTACCATCGGCTTCGTCGATTTGGACTGGATTGCTTTGTTATGTTCTTTTAGAGTTCTTTGTTTATTTTCAGGACATTTATTCTGTTTTTCTAGGACCCGCTTGTCCCACTATGGGCAACCCAATCTCTATCTACTCCATCCGTCCCAAAATACTTGGTGTTCTAGATAATTTAGTATATGTTAAGGTTTAAGAAAAAAAATAACTATACTACTCATTAGATGATGTATGGTTGGGAATGAAGTGGCAATTTGAATGAGAGGTTATAGGATGTGATAAGTAGGAGTAGTATTTGAGAGTAACAAGTAAAGGGATGAAATATCCTAAGCAATAAAGATGTTACAACCAGTACGAATATAACCTACATGTCCAATCGAAATATGAGCTTTTGGGGTAAAATTTAAATTCTAGGAAGATAACTATCAGAGGACGTCCCATAAAAAATAAATCTAGAACCGGATGTGACATATTCGTTTTTTATGTTGTCTATACTATTAAACTTGCTCCTAAAAATAGGCAGAGACTAAAACATAAAAAAATTGCATACTTTGGTTCTATTCCAAAAGAGAAAATCCCCTATGTACTCATGAAAGCTCACCTAATCCCTTATATACCCTTGAATTTTGCTCAATTCCTTACATACCCCTGAATTTTAGTTTGAATCCCTTTCATGCTCTTTCCGCTAGTTGACCGTTAAATTCTTTTGAAAAAGTCCATTTTGCCCTTTGCTATGAAGAAACATAATAAATTAATGAAGTATATTGTTGGAATGTAAAAATTTATTGGATGAGACTATTATATTTATGAGTATGTGATGCACCATATCATTTGTGACAAATTTACTTTTACATATGATATAAAAAAGTTGATACTTATTTATTAGTTATTAAAAGTTCTTTTATGTAGCATATGTGTTTTCATAGTAATATAACAGATTTGTTTATTACTTCAGAACATATATGCTAAAAAAATCTTTTAATAACTAATAAATAAGTATTATTTTTTTATTTCATATCTAAAAGTATGTTTATCGCAAATAGTATGGTGCATAACTATCTTATAAACATAATAGTCTCATATAACAAATTTCTATGCTCCAACAATATACTCCATTAATTTATACGCTTGTTTATACCAAAGGGCAAAATAGACTTTTTCATAAGAATTTAACGGTCAACTAGCGGAAAGGGCATGGAAGGGGTCCAAACTAAAATTCATGGGTACGTAAGGGATTAGGTGAACTTTCAAGGGTACACAGGGGATTTTTCTCATTTCAAAACGTCAACAATATTAGGACTAGAGAGAGCGAGTACATAATAAGAGTATTTTTAAAACATGTAAATTTATGATATGATATATGAATTCAATTAACTCTTTTTATTTAGATTCAAATCCTGGTTAGAAAACGGACGAAGACAGATTCGTTTTTTATGGGACGGAGGGAGTAGTAATATGTACTGGTACTACTCCCTCCGTCCCATAATGTTACTACTTCCCTTATGTCCAGATTCGTAGTTCTAGGGTCGGTTGTAACATTATGGGACGGAGGGAGTATTGAATAAATAGACGAGTATTTTAAACATCGGCGTCAAATTGATTGGTGCATGGAGACAAGGCCAACGAAACGAAATGAATCCGCCGTAGGAGCGTATAGTAGTCCCCTCACTCATCATAATCACTTTCACATATCTAACGGCTCCTTCCTGTGCTGACCAATCCAGACAGTCGATGTAAATTTCGAGCAGCAAAAGGACGCTCACTCCATCACCAGCCAGAGGCCCTACTACGTTGTTACTCCTACCTGCAGCATTGCCTCCTCCGTTCCGTGCTGTGCTATGCATCGTCAATGCAAAATTGCAAATGCAACACACAGGCCAGGGAGGGACCAGGAGACATCAACTTCAAAACCATCCTGCAACTATCTATAGTAGGAGGCAGCATCAACTTCGTCGAGGCCAAACCATATCATACCAAAGAAGACGTCGGCAATCCGTAGGACACAGACCTGCCGAAACCTCTTCTACTGGTGTACCTCACTCACTATTATTTCACCAAAACACCACAACCACCGATTAAGAAAATGGAAAATCCCAACCACTGCATTTTCATTACTACTATTACTTGCAATACTCTCTTTGCAATAATCATCAACCAACTCCATCTCACTCGAAAGATGGAGTTAAACCCGTGTGGTAGCCCCCACTATAATGCACAAACAGCAACGTTGCCTTGTTCATACACATCTCATCTCATCTCATTTTCTCAAGGAGGGTCAGTCAGACTAATCCTTCAAAGCCTATTAATACTGTA